CACAACAGCGTGGTCGACCAGAGACATCATCTAGATAGAATCTGGACCCCATGCAAGACATACACTTGGTGTTTGGGGTAGACAACGAGACGATCCGGACGATCACGGGAGGGTTCGACCGTGGGAGGGAGGGAAGATCGAACTCACAGGCCAGCAATCGCACATTTCCCTGAATCTGGCACTCCACCGGACTCCATTTCGGACTCCATTTCGTGTTCCTCTTTTCTTCCGGCCGGAGTCAGGTTCTCAAATCGGGGAAGACGGATGACAGCGGCTAAGAGCGTAGTGCGGCCGACGAAGTGGTGCTAACGGACCCACTAATAAGCACTAACATAGATTAAAAGATATTAATTGTCAATTCTCGACCACCGGCGCCATCGCCTTCCCGCGCTCAAGGAACAATTGAGTGCTCATCCAGTCAGGGGTGTCCCTGGCTCCCAACCGGGGTGGGAGGCAATTTGTCGACTCAGAACGCGGGCGGCGCAGGGACCCCTGTCCACGCTTGGCCACGTTCAGCCCGCCCTCGAGATAATTGATTTGCCACCACTATGACAGGTCAAACGTTGAATCCGGGGGAATAGATCATTGCACGATCTCTCTTCAGTCGATACCATCTTGAACAAACAGACGAGGTCTCGAGTTGTAGAGACGAGCAGATGGAAACCGTCACCGAGGATACCGGCTGCTCTCGGAAACGAAAAGACCCTTAGCGAACAAAGCAAGCCCCCCCACTATCGGTTCGAATTCCGGCTAGAACTGTCTAAAATTGCATTGTATGGCAGGAACCATGCGTACTCCGGTATGCTTCGCACTTTAGTTGCCGACGGTGCAGCGACTAAGAGGTTGTCGTCCCAACTGGTGCCATTTGGGGGGTTTCTCTTAGGGCTATTCGCCCGGTTCCGACCTCCAGACGACCACATGGGCTGATTAGCTTCTTTTTCCCACGAGGCAGCAGCCTTTCCTTGGTCTTCTTGTCTTATCAGGGGCAAAGACGAAGATCCCAGGGACAGGACTATATAGAGGTAGTGGGCGACCAACTTTTCTGTAACTCTGTCAGCCCGCTCAGTTCATTCTCGTCCGGTGACTGCTGTTATCATGAAGTTATCCCTCCTGTCCACTGCGGCTGTGGCTGCTTTGGCTGCTTCGCCCGCCGCTGCCATCCTCGGCACCCCCGATGCCGTGGATAAGCTCTCCAGCAAAGCTTTGGCCACTAAGTTGGCCTATGAGGCCGCTCATGGCTCCAACTCAACCTGCAACATCAAGAATGCGGCAGTCCGTCGCGAGTGGTACGTCTCGCCTTCCCGCGCTAAGCTGGGGAGAGTTCGCCAAACTCATTCACATGAAACACCAGGTCCTCTTTGGCACCCGCGGATCGGAAGAAGTACACCGATGCGGTGCTGTGCTTGATGAGCAAGCCCCCCAAGTCCGATCCCAGCTTCGCCCCTGGTGCCCGTAACCGGTTCGATGATTTCGTCGCGGTGCACATCAACCAGACCTTGTGGATTCATGGCACGGTAAGGCGCCCTGCTTCCCCCAAATTAATTCTCTCCCAGCTGATTGGATGTAGGGTAACTTCCTCACCTGGCACCGGCTGTTCACCTGGGCCTATGAGACCGCTCTGCGCGACGAGTGTGGCTACGATGGTTACCAGCCCTACTGGGCCTGGAACAAATACGTGAACAACCCGATCAACTCGCCTCTCTTCGATGGCACCGAGTACAGTATGTCCGGTAACGGCGACTATGTTGCTCACAACGGCACCCCGGCCACTGCCTACACCACTCTTCCCCCGGGTGTGGGCGGCGGCTGTGTCACCAACGGTCCTTTCGCCAAGTAAGCCTTACCCTGACCTTCCCTGGCTCTCTCCCTCAATTCGTCCAGTTCTAACGAACTACACTCTAGCATGACCGTCAACCTCGGTCCCGTCGACCCCACCCTGCAGATCCCCGGCCTGGTGGCCCAGAACGGCACCGGCCTGGACTACAACCCGCGCTGTCTGCGCCGCGACATCTCGCCGGTCGCCGCGCAGGGCTGGACCAAGACCAGCGACGTGATGGACCTGATCCAGAACTGCGACGACATCTCGTGCTTCGAGTGGACCATGCAAGGGTTTTTCGAGGAAGGGTTCTTGGGCGTGCACACGGCCGGCCACTTCACCATCGGCGGTGACCCTGGAGGTGTATGTACCCTTCGCCAGTTCTTTTCCATTTCTCAATCCTCACTAACAACCCCGACACACAGGACCTCTACGCCTCCCCCGGTGACCCGGCCTTCTACGTCCACCACGGCATGATCGACCGCGTCTTCTGGATCTGGCAGAACCTCAACCCGGCCAACCGCACCTACGTGGTCAAGGGCCCCGACTTCCTCGACGGGCTCATCCCCGGCCCCAACACCACCATCCACGACACCCTCTGGATGGGCAACCTCACCGCCTCCCGCGAGATCTATGATATCTTGGACACGACGGCGGGAACTCCCTTGTGTTATATCTATTTGTAAAATTAGAACATTGTGCTGCTCGTTTCTGTGGCATGGGCAGCGGCATGATAGAAATTCATAGATTATTTTGTTTCAAGTTTACTTTGCTTCTATGACTGTGGGCGGATGGCTTTGCGGGTCAGCCACAGGGATCAGCCACAGCAGCCACGGAGGACGTTGCGAGGCGAAAGCGGTAGATCGTGGCAGAGTCGGCGGGCCGGGGTATTTGCCGAGGTCATTTTACCTGCTTGCCGGAGGGGTCCGCGAAGGAATGCAACAGAAGAGCTGAGGTACTAAGGCATTGAGGACAATACTCTGTGAGCTAAAATTCTACAAGTGCACCTTGGCCTGGAGCTTGCCACAGCCACGCAGTAACACTCTTTCTTCCCCTCATTTATGGTCAGACTGTCGCCCCCTTAGCATTGTGGATCGCGATGGTTAGTTCACTGTAACTCAATGGACGAACCCAACTCTATGAACAAGGAAATCTATTTTCATGCTAATGACATCAATCCGTGGTATATATGTACAATCCTCAACCGTACAGCTTCTTGATCTCGGCCACCACCGCGTCGGTGACCTCCTTGGTGTTGGCCTTGCCGCCCAGATCGGCGGTCAGCACGCCGGCCTCGCACACGTTCTCGACGGCGGTGAGCAGCTTCTTGGAGGCATCCGCCTCGCCGAGCCACTCGAGCATCTCGGCGGCGGTCCAGAAGGTGGCGACGGGGTTGGCAATGCCCTTGCCGGTGATGTCGAAGGCCGAGCCGTGGATGGGCTCGAACATGGAGGGGTTCTGGCGGGTGGGGTCGAGGTTGGAGGTAGGGGCGATGCCGATGGAGCCCGCGAGCGCGGCAGCCAGGTCGGAGAGGATATCGGCGTGCTGTTTGGCCCGTTAGTTTGATCTTGTCGGAAGGGAGGGGGGAGAAAGGCTCAACTCACCAGGTTGGTCGCGACGATGGTGTCGATGGTCTCGGGCTTGAGGACCATGCGGGTGGTCATGGCGTCGACCAGCATCTTGTCGACGGTGACATCGGGGAAGTCCTTGGCGACGGCCTTGGCGACCTCATCCCAGAGGACCATGCCGTTGCGCTGGGCGTTGCTCTTGGTGACCACGGTCAGGAGCTTGCGGGGACGCTTCTGGGCGACCTCGAAGGCGAAGCGCATGATGCGCTCGACACCGACGCGGGAGAAGATTGCCGTCTCCGTGGCGACCTCCCAAGGCTTGCCCGTGTGGGAGCGACCGCCCTGGCCGGCGTACTCGCCCTCGCTGTTCTCGCGAATGATGACCCAGTCGAGGTCACCGGTCTTGCAGTTGCGGAGCGGGGACTGGGTACCGCGGAAGACCTTGGTGGGGCGGACGTTGGCGTATTGCTGGAAGGGCTGGCAGATGGCCAGGCGGAGACCCCAGAGGGAGATGTGGTCGGGGACGTCTGTTTAGTAGTGGAAGATTAGATGACTTTCCATATGCGGGGAAGTAGGGGAAATCAACATACCAGGAGCGCCGACGGCACCGAAAAGAATGGCGTCGTGCTTCTTGAGGGAGTCGAGACCGCCATCGGGGATGTACTTTCCGGTCTTCTTGTAGGTCTCGGAGCTCCAGTCGTAGTTGGTGAACTCAAGCTTGAAGGTCTTGAGGGTATCGGCCAAGGCGTTCAGCGCAGTGATACCAGCCTCGACGACCTCGGGGCCAATACCATCGGCGGGGATGGAGGCGATGCTGTAGGACTTTTGGAGAGACATGGTGACTGTGTGCGAGGGTGGTGTGAGATCAATGCGAGGAGAGAAGAAGTCGGTATCAGCGCGTCGATCGAGGTTTATATCGTATCTCCAGCCCCCGCGTGTCGCCCCTCACCGAAGGAAGGATTCCCCTCCATGATCTCAGATGGGTGGAGGGCCGGACTTGCACTCCTCCGCGTCTCGGAGCAAGACATCTCCGGCACCACACGGATGGTCGGGACGGGTTTGCATCTGGACAATGATGACGATCGATGCAGCCCTGTGGGGTGATGGAATAGTGCGGTGGATAACGTGCGAGAGTTTGAGAGGCAGGTTTGTGTGGATGCGATTGACGGATTGATTGTTGGTTGCGAAGGGGAGCGGATTGACCCCGTTTACGGAAGACCGTGGGAAGACTACGAGGATTGCAAAGGATGCAAACATCCCGCTGACTGGAGTTTGTCCGCGGCATTTTCTTAAGGTTGAGGTAAATAATGACTACTAGGTAATTACCTAGTACCTTACCAGTATCGTCATTATGTGCAAATCGAATAGATTTACAGTTCATTCTGTCGGAGCCAGTAAGGAAACAAAAAAACAGAATAGTGCTTGCGGGGAGCCCAACTCAGAGCCCACCATGCCAAAAAGTGGAAGTGAGAGCAAAAAGACAATCCCCCGAACCAGAATCGAACTGGTGACTTTTCGGTTACAATTTCCATTACAGCCGAACGCCATGAACCAACTAGACCATCGGGGGTTGTTGTTGCAGTATCAACAGCTAACACAAACTATATAGATTCTAGCAGTAATCAAAAGTACAACGAAGGATATCGCCGCGCCACTTCCCCTGCCCGATCCGCCCTCCGCCGCTCTGGCGATACTGACTCCGCGACCGATACTGACTCCGCCGGCCCTACACTGCTCCTGCTGGGAAGACTGGCGGCGGAGATTCCCCGCGGCATCTCATACACGTTCGACGGCGGCACTTCTACCCCCGGTGGCGACTTGACCACGGTCCGTTCACACTGGTACTGATCTTGTTTCGCTTCTCGCCATCGTTCGCGCTCCGCCCACCCGCTCAATGGCAACTGGGACCACTCCTGCATGCGTACATTCTTGGGGCGCATATCAGCGGACTTGCGGGTGGTCTGCACCACCATGCCTCCGTGCGAGGCATTGAGCTCGCGGATGGTGGTGAGGGCCTCGAATAACGCTTGCTCGGTGTCGGCAAGCCGCTGTTCGATCAGATTAAGATACCCAAGTGGAAGCCCTCTGACTCGGGTCAGCACCCGGTTGAAATACCGCACAACGATCTTCCTTACCGTTTACCGCTTTCTGGATAGACACACTTGGATGGATCGGGGGAGCATTGTGTGCAGACTGGACTGGAGGCGAGTAGGCGGGTTAGTTGGGCTTAGATCGAGCATGTACCGTACATCTATAGAGCGGAGTCACATACAGCGTGCGGTCGCACTGGCACACGTTGGAGTTAGAAGGGTGTTCCCAGTGTCTACTCTCTGAGTCTCGTTCTTCCTGTTCTACTGACCTTGCATTTCTTTTGCCTGCATGGCTCGCAGGCAATGGGGCTGAGCGCTTGTTCGGTATCTGATTCCCTGAGCGTCATTCTACTAGTAATAGCGGGGAAATATATTTCTGATCCACTGACCTGACGGCATTCCGATTCTAATCGGACTCGATGAAGATGATGGTAGAAAATAGACAGCTATTAGATTCACACAACTACCCCGTCTGCATCGTTGCGATCGTAAATATCACCTGTTCTACTATCGTTCGGCTCCTTGCCACAATCGACTCTTTACCAGGGCACCTCATCCTCAGGTAGGGGTTGCAACTCGGGCCCGGGGAAAGAAACCTCCGGCGGGGGTTTCCTTCCCGGGCTGCGGCAGTCCAGGAGAACCCGCTGTGTGGTTTCTGCCTGGTGCCTTTTGTGGCTGCCTGACCTCTGGGTCAGGTGATCCATCTTAAAAGTATCACGTGATGGCATAAAGCAACCCAGACCACGTAAGCCACCTACTTATGCACCGTCGTTATTCATGGGTGCAGTAAGTATTAAAAGTTCCACATGGCCATTGCCCTCTATCCACCATCACCGAGTACAGATGCATTTAGAGTCTCTTGTGACTCCAGATCCTTCTTCCTTCACGTCTAACCCCTTCTCATAGCTATACCAAGAATGGCCTTCCTTCCATCACCACAGAACACAACCTCGCCGAGCAACTCTCCGAGATGGCGCACTATAAACCATATCGACCATTCTGCATGCACCGCGGCTACATCAGGACGGGGATCTAAGTCTTTCAGAGAGATCCAATCGATGGAATCCAGGCTACCGGGGGCTATCTGAGGAATTCAGGTGAGGTTACTTCTCTTTGTACTTTCACTTTCAAGGTCATCCTCATGATACATACGGCGTCTGTTGTATACGAAATTCATTATAAGTAAGAGAATCAATATTCAAATGGACCAGAACCCAATCCATTTCTTCTGGATGTAGATAACACAGCCCGTTTGCTGGAGGGTTAGGTAACAGGTGAATTTGGTGCAGATTCACCGACTACCACCACGGTGAGGATTGCAAACGCTGCAATGATGGCTGATTGAGGATGTTCCACCTGTGAGCTGGCCCCCCCTCCCCTCTACTTGTCCTCTTGCCAATTCTACTTAATCACTCAGTGAGGAACTTTCCATCCTTCACCCCTCATCTTCATCCTTGTTCTGTCTTTCCATCACCATCCTCGCCTCACCACTATCACCACCTCACCACCTCACCACCTCACCACCTCACCTCCATCCTCATCTCGCTTCTAATCTCATTCTCCAATTCGCCCTCTTCTGAGCTCACAGCTCACAGCTCACAGTCTTCTTCGGAATTTCTTTCTACATTGTCATCTTTGAACACACTTCCATTCCCCTCATCGTCCCCAGCTTCGTCCTCATCCTCATCCTCATCCTCACCCCCTTTTCCTTCCCCTTCCTTTTGCCCATTCTAGTCCTCTCATTTTCTTTTTTCTCTTCGCATGTCGTCTTTACTTGTATCGTTGTTCCATCACGACACAACTTCCTATCATGTATGAAAAGAACACTCTCATCGACATATTTCACCATGTCGCCTTGCCCCCCCAGCTTCCTGGAAGTCCAGACACAGAGCCGCAGAAAGTTGACTACGGCCTCATCGAACGCCTACGCAGGGCCGTCAGAAACCTTCGCCACTATGCGGAAGATGACACAACGACTGTCTGGAAAAGCCTTGATGAGACTCTGAAAGAGTGTCGTGCGATTAACGATGGCAGGGTCCACAAGGCAGCTTTGGTGAGTGCGTTCCAGAGGCTGGGCCCAGATCACCCTATCATCGTGCACGTCGTCGAACACAACGCAGCCCTCCTTTTCCATCAAGCTCAGTAAGTCATTCTCGACCCCGGTGGAAGACCCCTTGATTCTGATGCACTTCTCTGTCAGGGAAGATACCAGTGTGGCCGTCGAAGCCTTCGAAGCCTCACCAAGTGCCGAGCCCACCATTGCGGCGCCCGGTGCGCTACAGTGGGATTTCCCCGGGGTGGCGATATCGCTAGACAAGGAAGAATTTGACAAGCCATCTCTCCAAGAGAGTATGGGGGAATTCCTGGAGAGAGCCAGTACGGAGCCCCTCGACGAGTTTACGCCAAAATCACAAAAGGCGGGCGTCAAGGTGACTGAAACAAGAGACACCATGGATCCGGACTTGATCACCGACTTTCTGATCACAGTACTCGGCGTGAATGGCCGTCGAACCCAGCCAGTCCTCCTTCGCAAGCGCATCAAAGACGATGTATGCTGGAACAACGCGGAGCGACCGTGGCGGCGTAGCCCTCTATGGCTCGTGCTTCGTGTCTGCCTCCAACGCCTGCTGTACTTGCGCTTGGGCAGTGAATTGGGTCGGGTCTACTACAAGTCCCTGCTCTGTGTACTTCTAGCAGATCTACTGAGAGACCTCGTGGAATCACGCGCGGTGGGCCCGGAGCAATGGAGCTGGTTGAGGGCCAAACTTTGCCGTCGCCTCACCAAGCTGGAAACTATGAAGGATTCTCTATGCCCAGAGTCACAGGCTGCCTATACCCGACTCGCGAACCAGCTGGAGCCTTTCTACACGGAGCAGATTGAGATTGCGAGCAGTGGCATTGAGCAGGAGTGGCATGACTTTAAGAAGAACTTCCTGCGTAAAGTACCAAAGCTACCACTCAGGGCTGGTGCAGCAGAGATGCACCTAAGTCTACCCAACAGCATATCCTATCTCCGCAATATCCTGCAACAGCCTCATGATGGTAATCCGAGGTCCCGCAACACGAATCTTGTCCACCCGGCGAGCAAGGCGAGCGCAGATATGACGGACGAGTTTACCACATTGTTCAAGGTTTACTCATCCCTAGCTGAGTTGGAGCAGTCAATAGATTCCGGTGAATGGAGGGCTCCAGCGGCTGGCCTAGTTCAGAGCATCGGCGCTTGCACTAAAATTGCCGACAGAATCGAGGACTATCTTCAAAGAGTTGCGGGCGCCTATGACAGAGATCCGGAGCAATTCAGCCTCTTAATCTTGAACATATTTGAGCTGTGGGTCTATATGGACAAATGCGCGACCGTCGCCTATCCGCTGCTTCTCGAGTTCCATCCGGTATTCCGCCCAGAGCTACTTGACGTCTTGCTCCTCTCTAGACGAACCGACCTAGACCGTCTGCATGCGATTCAACTCCATCTTCATGGAAGATGCGCGACAGTAGCTGACTCAAGCGTGTCAATCTTTGCAGACCCGGCTCCGGGTTGCTTTGCTGATCGATACATGGAGCTCGACGTCGGGAAAAGCTTGAGAGAACTACAGAAAGCCATTGAAGATGCATCTCAGGCTTCAAGCCAGAGAAAGCTAAAAGAGCTCCAGAAAGTGAATAGAAAGTTCGAATCTTTGACTACGGAGTTGTCATCGAGTGACTGTACCCAGCGAAAGAACCCTGACGGTACTCATGATATTCGCGATTGCAGTCACTGCTACTACAATCGAAGTCGAAAAAGTCTAGAGATCAGCGCTCATGAAGCGTATCTGCCTTGCGACGGAAAGATGGCTGAAAAAAGAGCCATTGTTTTTGAGTTGGAAACCCCCGAAGCATTTGCCGCCTACCGCAGTGCTACGTGGCATCTCATTGTTCGATTTGGTCCTAGACTAGCCTCACCGAATGCAATGGCACCGATGAAGCTGCTGAGTGAGTACGCGAATCTTTCCGGATACTTCAGAGAGAATGCACGCCGCGGAGGGTTGTCTCTAGCCTCGACTACCAAGTCGTTCTTGGATACCCATTACAAATTGCGGCAATTCCCAATCGCCGAGGAAAGCGTGCTGCTTCCGTCGGGTTTAACCTTCAAGTACTATGATAAAGGTCGCAATGTATGGGGAGGGGACTTGCCAAAAACACTCACATTTGCGCATCACTTTGCCCTTGCCCTCCCATCGAATCTTCCCCTCGCACAGCTGTACTCTTCATCAAGTTTCGCTCCGGACGGACCAGGGCCTTCGTCATATGAAGCTCTTGCGGAATCACGGAAGCGTCCTTCTGCAGTGACCCTCCATGAGTTTCTCGCACATCAGAGCTTGATGGCCGGCAAGCAACGTCGGTGGATTTCGATCCTTTCTGAGCTCGGATCGTCGAACATCAATTTCAGCGCGCACGAAACAATGGCTCTTCTGCAGCATCTCGCCTTGCAGGCTGGCCCCTGGCAGCAGCGAGAATCTTTGAGAGTCATACATTCTGTCTTCCACGAAGCCGTCTTCTGCAAGCGACTGATACAACAAATTGATCAACACGTTTCGTTGATCACCTCGAACTGGCGCGAGGTCATGTACATGGAAACGATGCTGACTTTGACGATGCGAGTGTGCAGCCTGGGGTGTGATGAAGTGTCAAGATGCGCCAACGAACTGCTGTTAAAAATCCGCAGTGTGACGCATCGTTGGATCCATCACCTACGCAACGAAGCACGCAAAGCTGTCGAGGTCGATGTCGCGGACAGAACAGCGCGATATTGCTTCTTGGCCGCTCTCCTCTGTCGCCGCACTTTTGATCGAACGACTAGCGCCTCAATTGATGCGGCCTCCACCCAAACATGGATTGAAGCCACACTTTCCATGCAGGAAAGCCTGGTCATAGATGCGAGTAATTTCGATGCATTCACTCGGAGGATGCTAGTCCGCGACATCAAGATGTCCAATCGACTGTGCCAGGTGATTCAGTTCGCGGTCAGGTGGTATCCCTCAAGCGTGAATGCAGCCATCGACAGAGTATGGTTCAGTGCGCGTGAGGGACAACATACTATCTGGCAGCAAGAAGAAAATGGCTGGATAACTGCCACAGCCCGCGGTACTGATGAAGAGCGAGATCAATATCGCCAGCTCCACATCCTGGAAGGCCACTTCTTGATCGACGGCAAGCCTCTGGGGAAGCTTCCAGCCGACATCCGTAACTCAGATGTGCTCAAGGAACTGTTCGGCAACGAGAGACTCAGTGCTTTCCCATCGAGTCTGCCCGGGATGAGTTATAAATTGGCGCTGGCTAGGAACGGCTATGAGGTTCACTTGGGTTACCGAGGTCAGGACCTCGTGATCTGGGCCTGCAAGGAGAGCCAAACTTTGGAGCATGTTCCTCGGTCTGTGTTTGGCAGTGGCAAGAAACCGGACTTACCATACTCCTTACTTCGTGACTGTGTGCACTGGATCAATATCAAAACGGGAATCCTCCAGGCGAGGCGTATACCACAAATCTGGAGAGAGAGGCCGGGCGACTGGAAGATCAACATCCGAACCCAGCAGGCTAACCGACGCAAGTCATATCTGGTTGACCCCCGTTCTCAACTCGCAATGACGATAGCTAGCATTTTCTCTCATTTCGAAAAAGCCGCAGAGCTGACAATCTATCAACCGCCGCAAACCATGCTCTCGGTCGAGTTGAAGGCAATGAACCTCAGATTCTATGTCAACCAGAGACAGCGCCTGCAGTGCACTCAATTGAGCGCAGAGATTGACCCCAATCAAGACGCTGGTACACTTTATGGACTCCAAAGTATGCTAGTACTCCGAAATATCTACAATCGTTCACAGCGCAGTATCATTGTTCCCGTGGGCAGCATCCAAATCGAGCGCCAAGGCATACATGTTTTGGTCAAGAAAGAGAACAATGGGAACTATGGGAGGTATCAGATTGACGGAGTTCTCGGTCGGCTTCACTGCCCTGCCGAGCCACTACTTCTTTACACAAAAGCCCAGCTTCATGCATTCACTTCCTTCGTCTCTTCGGACCCGCTGACAGGGCGTACCGGTACAGAAGAGGCATTGGCTTGTTTAAAGTCCGCCTCCTCATTACCGTGGAGACCTCTCGAGTCCAACATCGTGGATCTGTTACGAGGAATCTCCGGGCTCACGCCGGTGCGGGAGTACTATCCCCCCGGAAAAAAGGTCCAACAGATGGTGAGGTGGAATAAGGAACTGACAGTGTCCATACAGCATGAAGCGTATCAGCCAACCATCGAGTCGATTCTGAAGAGGTCACAGAGACTTTCTCTCTTCCAACCAGGTATCCCGCCTCGCGGAACCAACACTAGCGGGAGTCAAGTATATCTGCGAGATAGAGCTCTTTGGCGCCGCTCTTTGTACGAGCGATCGGACACATGGAACGAGGACAAAGTGCAAGAAATCGCTGATGAGGTATATGTATCGCGTGCTAGATATCGTTCGTCCACGCGGGCGAAGAATGTGCGTGAGATTGTCTCCCTGCTCCGAGAACGGCCTTCGGAGATCGCAACGACGGATCATCTCGCTCATGTCATACAGCGCTGGGGCCACGTCGGGGGCTATGACGGCAAGTTCATTCCCTCCACTGTGAAGGCCGCCATATCAATTGACCTTGCGGCCAATTGGGGTCGCTTGGTTCGGCTTTGCGCTGAGAGTCAAACGCGTGATGTACATTATTTGATGTTCAACCTCGGTCTTATAGCCTATTCGCAGAATGTCAGCATGACAGCCCTTCGTGTCCTAGCAGCCTTTGTCACTTTGGACGAGCTGAAGAAGTTAAGACTACCCCAGCACGAAGCCTTTGAGCAAGTTCGCGAAAACGGCAAGCCGGATTCTCGATTGCTTCTCGAACTGGTGGAACCAGCGTTGATCAAGTTTACAGCTCCGACCCCGGTCAAGAGGCCTAAAAATTCTACCACATGCTTGAAAGCAGCAGCTATGGCTGAACATGAAAGGGCCAAGGAAGAACACGAATCTCAGTGTAATAGCGAAAGTCAACGCCTCGTGACCTTCATTCTTTCCCAATGGCCCTGCTTGGAGCCCTCACTCGATGGGTTCTCGTCAGAATTTGTGAACGTGATGGACGCCCTGGACCTAATTAAGCCAGTATGGTCGCGTCGTTACAAGAACATGCAACTTCTTGCCCATATCGAGGAAGTACAAAAGGTATTGAACACCCACGGCAATGTGAGAGCCAACAGACCACAAGATTCACCAGCGAGCGGACACGTGGAGTACTTTGAATCGCGCTCTGGCAGTCATCCAAGAGTTGCAGTTGAGCTCGGACGTGACCTGCTCCATACACCAGGCCCGCCGCTCGCGCAGGCTGAACACCACCATCAGAAATGCGCGAAAAAGAAGCCCCACCATCCCACCGACCCGCGGAGAAGACGCGGTGATCGGCCAGTGTCTACTGGAGAGATTGATGAACTTGAAAGCATAGTGAGGAGCATGATCAACTCGGACTGTCCTGTGAGATCCAGATATGGTCGAGACTTGCAAGTGAGCATCCATGCGCTGAAGGATAAAGACCAGGAACCGAACAAGTCCCAATCACCCAAATTGTCCTACTGGAAAGGGCTCGAGAGATACAAAGAGGAGATTCGAGATACGCAGGATGTTGTGGACTCTCACTATCGGCAGATTCATTCAGCTCTTCTAGCTGGGGATTCGAGACTGTATTGGTTGCTGAAAGGCAATATCGCACCATGCATCACCACGGTCACTATCTTGCAGCAGCTTAGGGGCTCGCTCGTACGGTTCGGGCCGCGAATGAAGCCATTATATCATACGCGCTCAAAGTCGTCAAGCTACAACGCCTGTTGCGGATCAGAGAATTCTTCGCTAGACGTGATGAAAGCCGGCTCGATCAAGAGTACTGCCAGAGAGACCATGCGGTGTGGGATTACATGAGATACTCGGACTGGATTCTCGTTGAAATCGATGCGAATATGCAGATACGGCAGGAACAGGTAACGGTTGCTCTTGAAATGATCACTCCAACCTCGGGCTCGAATTCTGTTCTACAGATGAACATGGGACAAGGAAAGACTTCAGTGATCACGCCGATGGTGGCATGCGCGTTGGCCAATGGCAAGATTCTCGCTCGGTTGCTCGTGCCAAGTGCGCTTCTCACCCAGACAGCTCAGATTTTACAGACACATATCGGAGGTCTTGTTGGTCGAGAAGTGCTGCATATCCCATTCTCCCGACGAACGTCAACAACACCGCAAGTGATATCAGAGTTTCGGAGATTTCATGAGAACACACTTCGTCAATCCGGTATCATCTTGGGTGTTCCCGAACATGCGTTGTCCTTCAAGTTGAGTGGCCTTCAGCGAGTTTCCGATGTTAAGATAGCCGAGGCTACTGAAATGGTAGCGATCCAAAAATGGATCGATCGACATGGTCGGGATATTCTCGACGAATGTGATTTCACCCTCGCGGTCAAGACACAGCTCATTTATCCCAGCGGCTCTCAGCTTGTTGTCGATGGATACCCCGATCGCTGGGAGGTCACGATGAATGTGTTAGGGTTGGTCGCGGATCATCTACGAGACTTAGCACGGGAGTTCCCGCGCAGCATTGATGTGATTGAAAGGGAAGATGTCGCATTTCCGATCGCATATTTGTTGAGAAACGACGTTGAGTTGGCTCTGATGAAAAGAGTTGTGAACGATGCTTGTACTGGTCGGGGTGGAATCTTGCCGATGCAAGGTCGCGGCGCCGCTGAGATTGAGGCCGTGCGCATCTTTCTTTCAGACCCGGCCGTTGATGACTCGGTCACCAAGAGTCTCCAGCAGATCTTCGAGAATAAGCCTCAGACGCTTAAGAGAATGTATCTGCTGCGAGGCCTGCTGGTTCATCAGATCCTGCTGCTATGTCTGAAGAAGAGATGGAATGTGCAATACGGCTTGCATCCTGACCGAGACCCAATTGCCGTGCTATTCCATGCCAAGGGTGTTCCATCGAACCAAGCGGAGTGGGGTCACCCAGATGTGGCCATTCTATTCACCTGCCTTGCATTCTATCACGAGGGTCTGAGCCAGGAGCAATGTCGACAGTGCTTGGAGGCTGTTCTCAGAGCGGATGATCCGGCTACCGAATATGACCGCTGGACGGAGACATCAGCAATTATGCCAGAAAGCTTACGACACTGGAATCTAATCAACGTGAACGATTATGATCAGGGTTTTATGATCTGGCAGCATCTACGGTTTTCGACGACGGTGATCAACTACTATCTGAAGAACTTTGTCTTTCCTGTGCACGCAAAGCAGTTTGCTATCAAGCTTCAGATGTCAGGATGGGACGTGCCTTATTTCAGGAACTCTCCCGAGATCTCTGACGGTACAACGACTGTACAACCGGGCCTGACCACTGGTTTTAGTGGGACCAACGACAACCGCAGACTGCTACCCCTGACGATGAAACAACACGATCTTCCTGAGCTGTCACACACGAACGCGGAGGTCCTCACCTACCTGCTCCAGAAAAGGAACAGGGAGTATCGAGCTGCGGTCTTCAAAGGAAAGCGTATGTCCGAAACAGAGCTGCTGTGTAGCTTGACCAAAACCGAAGTCCGCACCTTGATTGACGCAGGCGCTTTTGTCCTCGAGATGGACAATCTGAGCCTGGTAAAGACATGGTTGATGCATGACAATGATGCCCAAGCTGCAGTTTACTTTGGGCCGGATAATCAGCCGTGGGTTTGCTCACGAACAGGAAAGTGTCTACCACTGATCGCAACTCCGTATGCGGATGATATGACGGACTGCTTGATCTATCTCGATCAAGCACATACCCGAGGTACAGATCTGAAACTCCCAGCACATGCTCGGGGAGCCCTTACCTTGGGTCTCAATCAGACGAAGGACCATACTGTGCAGGCAGCCATGAGGCTCCGACAGCTCGGGACAACGCAGTCTGTGGTTTTTATCGCACCTCCAGAAGTGCATCATAATATTCTTGACGTCTGCGGCAAGCACCAGGACGAGCAACTCGACTCCTCCGATGTTGTGTACTGGCTATTGCACCAGACCTGTGCCAGTAACAGGGATCTCGAGCCGCTCTACAATGCGCAAGGCGTCGACTTCTGTCGCCGTATTCAGGCCGCTGAAGACTACCCTAACTTCATTAAGAACCATCATCAGCGGAGGTACTACATGGGGATCCTGCAGCAGCCCGAGCAGCAGTCTCTGGAGCAACTGTACAAGCCGGAGCCCACCGATGCGAGCGATGGAGACTCGGATTCGTCGAATGATTTCACATATTCGGGCCGAGCCGCCAGCTTCATTGAAGTTCTGCGACAGCGACGCACGGAAGGCAAAGATATCCACCATTCGGCCATCGCCAGTTCCGCGCAAGAAGAAGTCGAGCAAGAACGAGAGGTTGCTTACGAGGTTGAAGAAGAGCGGGAGGTTGAGCGTCCTAAGTTGCTGACGGCGTACATTTACCCCGGCTTGCATCAATCCCTATCGCAGTTTGGGAAGACTGGTTCCCTCGAGGGTGTGGGGTATGTGACCGCGGAGAGTATGATACTTGCAACTAAACTAGGTGGCAAGTATAGAGACCAAGTGGGTCTGAGCCTGCCGCATCTATATGTATCGGTGGAGTTCACCAAGACGGTCAAGCTGAAGCCTGGAGAAAAGATGGATGAACTGACGGTACGTTACTCATGACTAACGATCAAGCCTTCATGTGCTGACAGATGTAATTCCCTCAGCGCCCGGTGAACTGGCTACTTTGCAACATCAAAACTGAGATGGCAATTGTGGTCACCCCCGAAGAAGCCGAAGACCTGATTCCCATCCTCCGCACTGAGGCAGCACCATCGATGCACCTCATGACCTACGCAGCGCCGGTCACCAGGCGCATGCAGCACTTCAGCAACCTTGACTACTACACCGTCCCCCCTCTCCCGGTCGCAAACTATGTGCCCGCCTTCCTGGCGTTCGAGGTTGGCATCTTCGCTGGAAGACTCTATTTCGGTCCCCGTGAGTACGAAGAGATCCTGGACCGCCTGGCTCTCGAATGGGACGATGTGGCCGGTAGCGCGGTGACTCCTGCGGAAGGGTCCTCACTCAACATGGCCTTCCTGCAGGAGTGGCTGGCGTTGAGACGGCAAGGCCAAGATATATCCCATACGCCGATGGGCTATGTTTGTCAAGGCCGGAGGCTGCGTTCCGACCACCCATTCTTCGTGGAGTCCGATACCCGCAAGACCACAGACAGTTTCCTCCCTTCGTCTGGGAAGACTGTGAGTTTTGAGGAGCAGGAAGAGTACTCTGATAGTAACGAGGGAGTGGAGGATGAGGCGGAACAAATCGATCTGGGCGTGGAGGGGGATGAGGACTTTGAAGAGGACGAGGACTTCGAAGGGGAGATTTAGGGCGCTGCAAGGGTAAGGATAGGAGGATTGGAGAAAGCGATGAGTTTGGTGTTGAGCTTTTGTGGGAGGATGTCACGGGAGGTGGTCATGTATTTGTGGGAGCTTTCAGAGTGGTATGCTGTTCATGATGTCACATTCTCGTGCCATCAATCTACAATGTCAAGTATCCCAGTTGTTGAGATATGGCTTGGATTAGATGCGTGCCTGACATTCAATCATGGTGGTTGGAAACTAGATGTTGGCAAGAAAGTCCATAGGACGAAGGAATTCTGAGAAATTCAATGATGCTTCCGCAATGGCCAGACACAACTTGAAGCGTGCTTACGGCGGGCTACTCGTCTTAATCACATTGCTGCCTGACCAACCACTTAAGCGCGCGCCACCTTAACCTGCTTACCCCCCTCAAGAATCTAAACAACGCGTATCCCCCCCCGATTAACTATAGTGCTGTAAAGACATTATAGCTTCACCGCCCAACGGACCGCTTTTTTTCGAACCTGACCCTAATATTGAAATTATGTATAAGATTTTCCATTAAAAATCCTTAATGTAAAAATATCTTCGGCCTGAAATCTAAGTTCCCAATAGCCCTAAAAATCATAGTTATGTGACTTTACTGAGGCCAAGCGGGCTTCAGTTTTCCGCAACCACTAATACTACACCAGCTCCCTGACACCTCTCGGTTCCCCTGCGTAGCTGTATTATTTTTTTTGAGCCGCCGGTTGAGCTGAGTTGTGGAAACCCAAGTACCGTAGTCAGCTGGCTGCGCCACAGTAAGCCTAGCTGTTGATGCGCATAACCCAACTTGAAAGCCTGCTCCAACCCGTGCGCAAGAACGCGGATTGTGTGTATGACACTACGCCTTCTTCTGATCTAGGTCACTAAGGCAGCGAATCTGCAAGCCTTGCAAAGTACGTTAGAGATATACACAGTCCCATTGCTAGTATTGTGCTATGTCGTCCACGGACGTTGTGCTGGTCCTGAGTGCAACCGCCCTGTCCGTTTTGGGTATGTATTGTACTTTACACCTTCTCGGTAATACTCGACCGTACAGTACAGTACTTTTATAGTACAGTACTTTTGACCAAGTCATCCAGATCAATACCTCATACCAATCCGTGTTCGGTTTCTACTTTGGCGGAGTGGCGAAGTTGATCAGCTTTGGTTCACACATTTACATACAGTACCTTGCACTTTGCATCCCCCCCTAAAAGACCAATCGGATCTTTCCTATAACTTCCAAATTACAAGTCAGCGTGGGACTTTTAGATGGAGAATTCTGGAACAAGACTTTCGTCCTGTACAGCACTTTGTCCGGTAGAGATCAATCGCTCCCAGACTAGGGCAGGCGGCTCTGGCACCCTACACGTGCTTGTTGTTTTCTTTTGTTTATTTTTGTTCTTTAGTTTATCTTCTGTTGATCGTTTTTTCCCCGAGAAAAAAAAAAGTTAACCTTGCTAACTTTTTTTTTTTGGTTTGCTCCGTACCTTGTCCATAAATGTCAGTCAGCCTCGCCGTCAGCCTTGCCGTACTTCTTAGTCTTCCTCCATAGTTCCTCCATCAGTCAACAGCCCGTTCAACGCCCATTTCATCAACCAAACATAAGATACCATTAAAGGTCCACTGTCAAGGCCAGAAAGCACACTAATGATACACCAAACCGTATAGAGAAACATTTGTCCCCATCTGCTGGCTCCGTGAGGAGCTTCGACGACAAGCCCCTCAATCCGCATCCGCCATGCTCACATCACTATCGTCCCCGCCCGCATGAAGCCCATCGTGCGCCACAAAAGCACTGCGAATCAGGTGTTGGAGCTGTGCAACGCGACGCGTCCGCTCCAAGGACCAGGGCGCGCCGACGAGGCTGTAGATCAAGTCCACCGCGCCCCCCAAGCGGCAACACGCCTCTATGACCAGCCCCAGCCACGGCCGGAGCTCCTCCGACGGGTCCGGGTTCATCAGAAGAACCTCACGTCCCCCGCAGATCTCCACCAGGGTCTGCCATAACTCCGTTTTGGTCATGGTGAGCTTCTCATCCCACTTGTGGAGCAAGTCGGTCGCTCGGATGTTATAGTCTGTAGCTGCTGTGCCTGCCAACTTCTGCAAGGCCAGCCTTTGGGCTTCGCTGCCATGCAGACCCCGTAGAGCCCCGCCCGTAAGGGATTCGTCGTGGACTGTTAGCAGGCCGAGTAGGCTTGATCGGAACTGCAAGGTCCGGTAGAGCTGTTCGGCGGCCTCGATCCCAGCGTGGAAGGGGAAGGTTGTGCTCTCGCGCGGGAGACCGAAGTAGGCCCAGTCGGCCTGCAGGAGGTTGTTGAAGAGGGCAGCGGCAGGTGGAGAACGCCCGTAGACGAGGCTGGGATCGTTTCCAAGGGTTGGTCGGAGAAGGATCGGTCGGACCTGGGCAGAGTCATCGAATGAGTATAATTCTTTCTTTGCTCGAGGAGAATAGAGTAGATGTGTTTGCGGGGCGGCAGAGAAGAGAAACGGTAAGGGATATATGACGATGCTATAGACACACCTCTTCTTCGCCTGCATGAGCATCTGTAGGTCTCAGGCCATGCATAATTGTCACAGGTTGGAAGGCATAGTGGCTGCTGCCATGGCTCATCGTGCCCTTTGGTGGGTGTATGGGGGCCTGGGTTCGGCGCACGATTTTGCCTAGTATAAGAAATATGATTCTGCTTGAGAAGGAAGAAGAGTGTCAACTCGAACATTCAAGAAATCTCTTAAGATGTAGGGAGTTTTCATCTTATATATCCATCTTCATCCACCTCTATCCATTCTGTCGACCTCTGTTCATCTGTTCAGGTATGGGCATCAAAGGGAAAGAAAAACCCTACCAATTTGTCCGGCTGCAGAACAGTAATTTCCTTGACCTTGCTTGGCCGACCGGTACTATTCGTTATGACTCCTATGAGGCGCCTGCGAGTGCGAATGTGTAGATTACCGGCTAGATCATGCATGAAAAGGAAGCCATTGGTATCAATCAACGCAATATCAAAGTCGGTTGGTCGACGACCTCCGTTGACGAGGAGAGGCGACGTGTCTTGCCGTCAAGTCGAAAAAAGAGAGGTCCAGGAACCATCCAAGGTTTTTCGACGCTAGCCTACGTACTAAGGCAGGATGTAAGCAGAAAACGTGTTAGTACTCATTTTAAACCTCGAGGGAAAGGTGGGAAGGGGGCCGACACGGGGCGAGCCGGGTAGAGATAGGCAGAAAAGGATAGACATCAAGCTCTTCCCTGCTTGTATTCGGTGCTATGCCTGTCGATCTGTTTCGCATTTATGTACAGTACCTCAATGGTTGCTGTGGCTCTACTAATGGCATCAGTTACCATAAGCAGGCCACAATCGTGCTATGTGGCTTGTCAGGCTGTGATGCTTCCAAACCATGGAGTGGCCTCTTTTCCTGACGTATCCAGAGCTTTCGGAAGGTCTACGCTAAATGAAGGGAGGGGAAGGGAAATAAGAGAGAACTGCTTCACCTCATACTCATATAAGAAAGGCATTTGTCACAAGGAAGGTTGTCGGACCAGCGGTTTACCAGCTCGTCGCCAGTTGGCCACTCTGCCACCGCTGGGCATGTCTTGCGGACGGTCAGTTCCAAGACGAAGGTCGCATGTCAAGTGCCAGATATAGGGGTAACGTGATGACGATTGGCACAAATCTTGCCACTAGGTATCGCACTAGTAACGATGGATATGATAGCTCATCAGAGCCCATGAGGTTGCACCAATGAGGCTGGAATCTGACAAGCGGTCAAGTAATGTACTGTCTTCATAAAAGATTGATCATTGATGCATAACCCCATCAACAGGAATCGAGAGATGTTGGAAGACTCATTCGAATCGAGGGCCCCGAGACTCTACGCGCTGGTGAGGGTTCGAGCGACAAGAAGACCTGGGCAATATGCAAATCGAACAACTAGGCACCGAGCTACACAGCCCTGAGCCCATCTAGGGATGTCCGGCAGTGGTAATCATGGACTTGCTCATACGCGTTAAAATCGTGCTTTTATTCAGCTAGGAACTTAGCTTGAATGGTGTCATTTACCTCTAGCTACTTTGACTTTGGAGTTTACTGGATTATGAACGTGCTTTTTTTTATGCCGTTCCCTCGACTACCTCCGTGAGCCCTGATAGCTTACTTGACCTTACTGACCATCCCCCGACTGGCTTGTGCTTTTCAATCCAACACATGGGGTTCCCACTCCCCGATACAGTAAAATTTAATTACATTGAACACTGTATACTGGCACCACTCACTACTATAGATGATCATGAGGAACTGCTTAGTCTCTTTGTTCTTTCTTTCTTTCAGATGTTTCTAGACGCTAACAGGCGGGAATTGCGCCCGTAGGTGTAACACAGACAGATGTATTGATCATACAATAGTGTTGTTAATTGTTGTTCTGTATTAGCAACATATTACAGGACTGTGGAATGATGCTACAGTGGTAAGTTCTTGAGTGTAGTGCTGATCATCATTCTATTTGGTTTTGTTTTGGCTGTTATTTGCGGGGTACATGATCACACCGCTTGTTTGGCGGCACCAATAAGCGGCCCCAACCGCACCGCGAAATAAGTGGAAAAACAAGCGATAGGTACCGGTACCTAGAGATAAGGAAAAGAAAGAAACAAGAAGAGAAGAAGAAGAAATGAGAGAATAGCGAAATAGGAAGGAGAGAACCAAAAAGCAAGAAATGAGAAAAATAAGGAAATGCAGAACATAGTACACAAGAGGGGTCTCGGAGCGTTGACTGTGGACATAAAGTCTGATCCGAGTGTTTTCTTGAACCCCTGACTAGTAGTAGACTGGGATTTAGAACGATCTCGCCTATGAAGTGACCTAAGATTGTCCAAGGCGGCTGAGAATGATGTGAGCTAAGACTGTGCTCGGGGGAACAGTGCAAGCCTAGCTGCGCGCTTGTCACCTCCCAGTATCAGCTTATTCAATCTGTTGTCCAGGAAAGATGCATGTGTATGCATCCCCTCACGTCAGGTATCAGGTACGCTAAACCACATTTCACTTCACAAGTGAGTCAAGCGGTAGGCTCCATGGCCTGCCTCCGTGGCTCATTTCTCCAGCCGAACGTGCCGCCTGGATGACTGGTTGGTTGGGCAGCCTCAAAATTAGCCACTTATGAGTCTAGACCAAGAGCTCAATCGTGCTGGGAACTGCATTATCTCTTCCCACCAGACCATAGCCGGATGCCAGAGACTGGTGCTGTGGAATCGGATCGAAGTATACATTTTCAAAGGTACGCCATACCTACCGTGCCTTGCAATCTCCCGGATGCGGAGCAAATGCACACCAACAAATACGTGGGCGTGTCCTTGTACTTTTTGCCACCTTTTTTTTTCCTTCTGTTCTTTTTCTCCTCTGCTGGAGGAGAAAAGTGGAGGGAGAACCTGCCTATACGTCTAATCTCATGTAAACATCGATGTCCTGACCAAGACCTACAGTTGAACTTCTACGGCTAGGGCGAGCCCCCGGAACTCTCCCCGGCCCCGGGTACCTTTTTCCCTTTCAAGACAGCTTGGGTGATTGATGAACACGTTCCTCTGAGAGGGGCGAGAACACAAAATGCTTATTGTTAGCAAAACTTTCTGCGAGTCAGTGTTCGTTGCCCTTAGAGCCGAGCCACTCGTAAGGTTACGAAGCACTAGCTTCGCAAACTAGAATAAAACTCGATCTGCAGTACTGTACTTGGATCGAGAACAGGCTCGAACCCACCTCGCGAGCTGGAGTAAATTGGTAACCCATACTAGGAGTTTGCGACTAGACAACGCCTGATGACAGCCTGTGTCCGTGGCGTGTGGAGCGTTTATCAGTTCTTGGTCGTGATCTATATCAGTTACAACAAGCTAGGGACTTGTCGGCTGCGTGCCCATAAGAACTGTGCTGGTCACGTTTGCGGTCGCGTCGGCCGTAAGGTAGGCGAGATGGTGGGCTAAACCAGCAGCATACCGGCAGTACTCGATAATCACATCATTTTCTTTCTTTATCATATTTCTTTCTTTTCCTTCTTCTTCTTTTTTTTTTTTTTTTTGCTCTTCTTTTTGGGAAAAATATCTAGGGGTATCTCGGCAGGTTTAGAGCTGGCGGGCCGGCATCCGTGGTTGGCATTAATTCCCTCCCCCTCCACAACTGCTTTGTTCTAGAATAAATCGACGCCTTGAATTAGCCGGCCGGTGAAAAAAGACTGGTTGGTCAAAAAAGCAAAAACATACAACAGCATAAGTATGGTGGTAGTTACCAAGTAGCTGCAGGGGTCTGGTGCCGTTTTGTTCAGGCCCTTTCTAAGTTTGGTGTCTTAGTCCGTACTTTGACACCTGAGTTTATTAATCAGATAAGAGAAGGTAAAACTCAAGATAAACACTTCAATAAATAGCCCTAGGAATCCGACGAAGAAATTCGGAAAATATCCTCCCAGGAGTCCAGATGTCTATTGCCTAGTAGCGTTATACACAGTATTGATACAATATTATAGGTAGATGAATAATTGTATGATCCTCTACTCCTGCAACCCACCTCAAAGAATTGATGGGTGAAGAAGAAGCACATACGTCTGCAACGACTGGCTCCCTGCTCATAGAGCAACTAATAGAGTTCATGTGCAGCCACCTCCAGCAGGTTATCCGCCCCCAGAGCATTCTGCGTGTAACGGGCATTGAACTTCAGGATCTGCTTGACCTTGTTGTAGCTCTGAACGTTGAGGGGAAGGGGCTCAGTACTGAGGTACCAGGCCACTCCCTCGCTGCAAGGGGGGGTGGTGAGAGAGCCGTCATATTGGTAGATCCCGTGGCTGTCGAGGTGCGCAGTCAGCCCAGCGAAGTCCAGAGGGCCGGTTTCTGTAAAGGTGCCCGGGGTGGCGATGTCATCGATGTGGGCGAAGACGGCGTCGAAGAGGGGGAAGGAAACACCTGTCTCGGAGAGCTGGAAGACGAACCCGACAACGGCGATGTTGCTCTCTGTACAGTGTCAGTTTGAATGATTAAGGTTCCTTGGAAAGGGGAACTTATACCGGAGTCCTCGAAGACGAAGTGGCTCTCCAAGGGGAAGTACTCCTCATTGATGCGGTGCTCGCTCGGGGTGTGGAAGTGGAACTGAGCCAGCTTGTATTGGGTAGAATTTCCCACAGAGAGAGTGCCGTTGGTCAACACGACCTCCAGACCGGATCCCAGGTTCTCAAACTTGGCGGCTGTAGTGGCTGGGATGTTGAACCTGAGGCTACCAGTGGGGACATAGTCAATCTCCGCGGTGACGATGTCGATGGGAGATTGGTGCTTGCCCTGGGAACAGGCGGCGTTGGTCTCGTTGTTCAAACCATACCAGGTCAAGGGCCCCCCCAGGTTGGTGTAGTTGTAGGAGTTGATGGCCACCAGTCCATCGGCCGCGCGGGGGAGAAGGGAAGTACCACGAATGCAGGAGGCACCGACAGTTGCCGCCAGAGGAAGAAGGTCCGAGAGCTTCATAGTGACTATTCTGCGAGTTCTGCGCTTGAGTGACGAGGACTCACTCGCATTCTCTGGGATCCTCTGAGCCTTTTATCGCCTGGCAGCGCCGCCCCACAACAATCCCCCTTTCGTGCTCGAGGGAAACACACGAAGATCGCGAGTCAAGATCGATGCAGATCGCCCAGGTCCCTCTGTAATGGGTCGTCGCTACCATCGAGATTTATCCATAGGTAGATTTGGGTGGCGGACGGGCTGGTGTATCTCCACTTACACGAGGGCATGTTCATCCAGTAGATGATCGACCATGAGGGTTGCAAAAAGCAGATATAGGTTGTGGGTCACTTAAGATTGTGCAAATCGTCAACTTGACTAATGTATACCGCCAAGGAAGTTGTTTTCCGGATGATGGCGGCGCTAAATCTCCGTGTATCGTTGATTTGTTAGCTTACCGAGCCGACGGAGCCCGAAAGCTTCGAGATTCTTTTAGCGCTCTCGGGTTCCGCACGCGAGGAAGTGATTGCTTATTTGCCATTTCGGTAACACTCCGTGCAGATCATTTTCATCCCAAAGTTTGGTTGAAGAGAAAGCCCCACCACATGAGCGAGTGCTTCGCAGTCCAATTCTGCCCGCCTTTTTCACGTGAGCCAGGCAGGGTTCGAACCGGCAATTTTCGCGCGTACTTTGGGGAAAGGAATGCCTTTCGACGTGCCAAGCTGGCAGTCCTTTGAGGCTGAGAGCGATCCTCTTTTGGGTTTGACCGTATGGCACTGTCTGGGAGGAAGATAGATCGTGACACCGAGGGTATCAGGGTTATATAAATCAATGTCGCCATCAGGGTGCAATAGAGTGCAACAGCACAGGCCGAGAGGGGAAACGACAGAGAGATTAAGCAAGCATCCGCTCTTGAATAGTTCCAGAAGCCATGACAGTCTCCGTTGAGCAGGTGGCCATCGCCGAGTAAGTGGTATATATCCTGATGGCTATCCTCACCCTCGGGGTCGTCCTAAGCGGGATCCGCATCGCCAGCGCCATCCCGAAAACGTTAACGACAAGGAATGGGTGACCTCAAACAGTTGGTCGGCCTGTCTCCGTTGTTGCTGTTCACCCTGGGTTTGTTGAAATGCATCTTCGACGAGACCACCACCCAACGCCCATCCGGCCTGCAGATCATCGACCTGCATTCCGGTATCTTTGGCATTTTTGGCCGATTGTACGTGACATGAAAGCTTAATAACCCCATCTCCCAGGCAAAAAAAGATGATTAATCATGGTCTCTAAGAATCTCAATATACAACAAAAAGGCGACCGCGACCTCCTACTGCGGCCCGCTTGCTCTACAGTCTGATCAGTGGCTTTGGCCATAACCCGCAGTTCACCCTTATTAATGGGGACAGCACCATCCATATCGTGATGGTGATCGTCGAGGAGGTTCTGGTCGTGTGCTTGTATACAGTGCTCAGGTTGATGACACCTCGGTCTAGCGTGCTACCACAGATGGTGGGTGGCGGAGTGCTGCCGGAGAGGTTGTCTTCTCTTTCCCACGAGGCGAGGGAAGATGGCGGCCAGCAACAACAGCCACTGAAGCCGTAGCAGCAGCGACAGCAACAAGAACGACAACAAAGACGCTAAGGTTGCATCCGAGTTGCCGTGGATCGAGACAACCGGAGATTATGACTCGATCGGGGAGTCCGTTTCATTGAGCCATTTGGCCCTATGAAGTCCAGGGGTAGAGACTGTGCATTCGGTTGGACTGCTGAGGTGTCGATGTTTTAGACAATGTTTGGCTCTTATCGGCTGTCTGGGTCATGGAAGGCAGATATATGCGCAGGCGAAAAAGAACGCTTTTTTCATACGCCAAGCTTGGCCTGCCACGATACACCATGATCATTCAGAGGATAGTCCTTGTGAGGTACTCTCTTCATAGTGATCGAGCCCGAAAGAGTAAGCCACGAGGTTGACACCAAAACAGTTTTAAAGGCGAGTGGCATTAATGGATGACAGATGGGGAACAAGTGCCCTTATAAGTGTCTCGATGCGAGCGACTGCGCTCTCGCTGGTCCCGCCTCGCAACTTGCACACCGTATATTTGAATGTCAGAGATCAATGTGTAGTCCATAGAATCCGGGCCCCAACTAGTCAGAACGAGGACCAACCAAGAATACTGTAGGAGCCCGTGGGCGCATCAAACAAAACTCCCCTCCATACTGTTCTCGAGCGTGTGAAACACACCCCAAACCACCAAAACATCACATGAACACTTAACCAGCCAGCAGCAGCAGCGACACTACCGCCGACAGCGCGCCGACCACAACCACCCCACATTGGAATTCGTACACGTACTCGAGGACGCCATGTAGCTGCCCTGGCAATTGGCCGCATTGTAGAAGGTGCAGGCGGATCCCGCATCGATCCAGGCGGCCGACATGCCGGTGTAGAAGTTGAAACAGGCGCCGTCGTTCCATTCCCACGCATACAGCCAGGACACGGTGTTGCAGTTATCGCCGCAGTAGCAGGTGCGGCCGTACACTTGCGGTTGCAGCACGCGGGCCTCGAGGTGATTCTCTTCGGTCTCGGTCGGCAGGGCTAAGGCTGCGGTTGCGAGCAGCGCGAAAACGCTGGCGAGGGAGGTGGGCTTCATTTTGAGGCGGGTTTCGATCTTTCGTCTAGTTAGTTTCTGTGTATATAACGAGAGTTCTGAGGTGCCTCGGGGTATGGATACCGGTGTGGCTGCCGTGTGGAGTACCGAAATGTGTGGAGTGTAATATGTATTCTGTTTGTGGAGGCATGGTCGTTTTTATAAGAGGATTTGATCGATTTTCAATAGACCCTTAGGGCCCAGCGGGATTCCTTGGCGCCTGCGCGGAGAAGTCCGCCGCTAGTCCGCTAGTCCGCTCACGCACGAGTTTCTGACCACCCGTGACAGCTCAGCGCTAGATAGGATTGTTCAGGTTTCAGTTCCTGCATCCAGCCGTGCAGGTCTGCAATCCATTGTCAGCCTCTTTTCTTCAGCAGCCTTATCAATCCCCCTGCACGTTCCCCCACACTGCCTGATAAGGTTTCGTATTTTAGTATCAAGGGTCTTGGTGTCTTCCCTGGCCCACAATTTCTTCGTGTGCATTCTTCTCCCTCTGCAGCTAATCTGCTGGTGTGCACCGAGACCTTTCAGTCGCGCCACCAGGCGGGGTCTGTCCCTGAGAAGGCTATTTTATCGACAAGCCAAGCCCTGTTCAATCTTCTCATCTTCAATTGTCAATCCAAACATAGATCCACCTCCAAAATCTTCACCCAAGAGATACATAGCGGCCCCTCCGAAGCATTGCCCGCCCGATCCGACACAGCCCCCATTCTCATCTTTCACTTCCCCTTGTCCAAGCGCGAGTAATAAGCGAACGTGTCCACCGTCCGCGTGGTGTTCCCCGCCACCCAGGTCACATTGCTCATGTAGATGACCACCTCACAGTCCTCATCGGTTAGCAGACACCCATTCTCCCCGAAGTTCACGTTGATGGTGCCTCCGGCCTCGAAGGTCACGTTCTCCAGCCACAGCACGACCAGCCGGTCCGCGCTCGCGTCGTCCAGGTTGATGTTGATATTGTTGCCCGCCGTCACCGTCGAGCCCGCCATATGCAGGATGGCCCCGCCGCCCGTGGCGCCGTTGCTCACGTTGATGCAGGCGTTTCGGCCGGCGCGGAGGCTGCTGTTGGTGATTTCGCAGACGGTGGTGCAGTTGAAGGGGTTGGACAGGTCTTGGGTATCGCGGGGGGCGAGGGCGTGCGCGACAGCATCGTACTTGCGTTGGAGGTTGGGGAAGAGTAGGTCACGGGCATCTTCAAGGGAGGGAAGCGCGAGGATGGGGGCTGTGAGCAGGAGGAGAATGGGCAGGAGGTGGGATTTTTGTGGCAGGAGCATCTTGGTTGGTGTGTTCTCTTGGGTAACAGAAATTGGGATGGCTTTTTCTTCAATTTGCAAGAGAGTGTTCTGGATGATTTGACATTAAGTATTTTTTTCTGCTTGTTGCGTTTGTAGGCTATCGCCGATGTTGATGTCAGCAAGGCTGCAGCCCTAAGTTCGGGATGAGATTGAAAGCGCGCACTAGTCCGCTGGTACGCGCAGGAACACGAGGAGCCCTTCTTGGAAGTGAGACATAAATGCGGGGATTTTTTGGAATGGGAAGCGATGCTTTTCAGAGATTGGTCCTGATTGCAATACTATGTTGCTTTCCGATTCAGAGAACAATGCAGTATATAAGCCCACTCATCTTCTCCTAGTTGAGTTTCAACCCATCATCAAACCTCTCGATTCACCACCTTGCTTGGGCAACACACCATGGCAGTACGACTTAGGGCTTGGGCCTTGCTTGTCATAGCTACCTCTATCCCTGGCACCATCGCAGACCAAATCCCGACTCAAACTGCGACAGTCGTGGTTACTACGACCCCAGTCATCCAGCCCTCAGCCACGGGTAGCCACCTCTCCATCCGTGACTCGGTTTCGTCGGATCCCTCCTGTCCGGATGGCTGGCTGTGTGATCCCACCTCCTGTTCCATGAACTGTGCGGCAGGCACTGAGTGCCAGAGTTTTGAGGGGGTACAATTCTGCACGACGACCAACTGGAGGTACTGCGCTGCCGAAAGCCTGGGCAGCGGTTCGTGGGCACTGTATGGGGTGAACTCCGTGACTTCGATTTGCTGGTATGTAGAACCCCCAGAGTTCCGCCACGTCTTTGTGAATCATATTGCTGACACAACCCTCTTCTAGCCATGGTAATGCCTATCCTGCTGGGACACAATGCTGTAGCTGGCCGGGTGTTGAATGTGTGTTCGAAGTGGATCTGTGCAATGCGTGTCCCGTGGGAGATACCTGTGGGACCGATAGCTGTATCTCGCCGACAACCAGTGCTGTAACTAGTGCAGCTTCTGCTACCTCTGCTGTTACCTCTGCTGTTACTTCTGCTGCTCCCTCAATTTCCTCTTCCTCTGCCTCCTCCTCATCCTCCTCTTCACCAGCTACCTCATCCAACCCCCCCACCCCCACCCTCACCCCCCAACTCGACACCTTCACATTCAACGGCTGCTATGCTGACTCCGCCGACGCCCGCCTCCTCGTCGCCGACTCCAGCGAAGACGGGAGCGCCGACGGCATGACCGTTGAAAAATGCATAGCCCTCGCCCAAGCCAGCTACTGGCGCTACGCCGGCGTCGAATTCGGGAGGTGAGTCCCACGCCCCCCTTCAACCAAGCCACTCATATCCCTTCTCCCCTCAGAAACCCCTCCAAGCTAACCACAAATCGAACTCGAAAGCCAATGCTTCGTCGGAAACACCCTCCACGGCCCGGACCAATACGCCACGGGCGACTGCAACACCCCGTGTGCGGGCAACCCCACGGAGCTCTGCGGCGACGGCGGCCGCATCCAGGTCTACGAGGATGCGTCCTGGAGCAGTCCCACCCTCGCCGAGCTGGCGGACGCGGTGCAGCAATACAATGCCACTGTTGCAGATGCACGCCAGGTCATTGCGGACTATAAGGCTCACATGGATGAGCTCGCGGCGTATCTTTCGTCGACGTCGACGACGAGAAAGCGAGATGCAGCGACGCTGAATGAGTTTGAGATGACATTGATGGGGGATCAGAGGAAGATTGAGGAGGCGCAGGCTAATACCGGTATGTTGTGTCCTCTTCTCTTGCGATCTCGATCTTGGTTAACGAAGGGCTAAATTATGTGGTGTGGTGTGTGTGTAGCGAGGACTCAAGCGCTGGGGGATCGGAGGCTAACGATTGGGAGACAGCTGGATACGTTTGGAACGGAGACGGTGAGCCCTTTGGTTCCCGGTTGATTTGGCATTGCGTACTGAGTGTTGGGGTTTGCAGGTCCCCGAAACGGTCTTCGAGGAGTGGGGTATCACCGCGTCCAACATGGCCCGGCTGCTGGGGAACGTGTGGACCACAGTCAAAGGTGCCGTGGCCAAACTCCGGGATGCTGCCGCGAATAATGCACAACCCGAGGTTGATGCTGTGGCTGCTGCGGCCGAAGCCGAGACGGCGGTATGACAGCCCTGATCCCCAGTATATCTCTTTTTTTTTTTTTCTTTTTCCATATTGGCCAAATGCTGACTGACCCATGTCTATAGCTCGACCTCATCGGTGTCGGCGCGACTCTCACTGTCGCGAGTGGATTCTGTACTTGTCTCCCTCTGTGTTCTCCCCTCCTCGCATGCCGTGTGTCTCTAACATATTCCCCCAGTCCTAGCCCTGGCGACCATCTGGGAATTTTTCCACGGCTCCGGCAGCAGCGGCGGCGGCACAGGCCCCGACACCGGCGCCTCGACCACCCTCGCGCCTACCACCCTCGCCACCGCAACCACCACCCCCTCCGCAACCAGCACGACCTCCTGCACCGCGACAGCGACGTCGACGCCTATCGGCCTGCTCGCCAAACCGGGCGTCAGCGCGGCTGATTTCAGCGCATTGGTGGCCCGTCTCCCCGTGAATCCGGATAGTATCCTGCTGACGGATGCCTGGCAACCGAATGTGAGTGTCAGCTACCCCTGGTGTCATGACTGCACGGCGGAGACCCGCTAACACGTACTTTACGCGCAACACAGTTTCTGTACGTGGGCGCAGTGGATGAATGTACGATCGAGACGCTGAACAGCAATGAGCTGGTGGAGAGCTGGACGGTGGCGTCGGGCTCGCAGCCGCTGTTTGCGTTCAATTCCGGGGCGATTCCGGCTTGTGAGGTTTAGGGTTTGTTCGGGAGATACGTGTAGACCCAGTTGCTCGCCACCTAGTGTTTTTGGATGCACCCACGGGCCCGAGGCTTGAGTATGGTGCGACCAGTGATGGGCTGGTGGGGTGAGAGCTGGACTTCAAGCAGAAAGGTATACCTGTATAACCCCGACACCGGCTTCGATGCCGGTATCTTGAATACGTTTATCGTGCCACTATGAGCGCTAAAGGCAGATCGTTGATGGGTTTTCTAACTGTGTGTACATTATGGTTAAGGAGGCCCTGGGGTTCTCGGAAACGATGCAACCCACGCACGGATTTCGTGGGTCTTCCTTCACTTGGGATTCTCGATCATAGGTACCCTCCGATTGACTATAATTGTAATGCAGACAAAAATCAAAAGCAAAAACATACAACAGAAGGGATTCGCTGGTGGTCACCCACCCAACTACTAACCTCCCGGCGTGTGGCTTAAGTACGGCTGAGCGGACGGGAAGCCCTGTTTTCCACACCCTGTGGTCGTATGTACCTGCTTCCGGATGTATCAAACCTATATTCTGCACTCATTGATGAAGTTCGATCTGAATCATATAACATTTTAGAGGAGGTACAGCATGTTTTAGCGTAGAGTTTGCTAGTTATATGCTGTGTTATGTATTAATGAGTGTAAAATTGCCCCCATGGCTGAACGACGGAGAATAGTTCTCGTAAGTAAATGTGATTCAATGGGCTCATGCTGGATCTGAGGATATATATATCTCGGAAAATGAACAAGCACATTTTCAGAGAGCACCGATGAATGACACAGATGATATAAAGTATCTACATTGCGCCGATCCGAAAAAAAAAAACAAAACAAAAACAAAAACAAAAAACAAAAACTTCTTCCCCAGCCAGAGAGATACCACGTCATTTCAAGCCTGTACGAGATCGGTGACAAGCACAGAGCTGCAGAGCAATATACCGCAGCCGAGAATCTTTACCTACACTTAGATTGACCCATTACTACAGCATCAGCTTTCATAAACTACTGTGTACGTACAGTCCTTACTGCTTGCCTATCCGCACTGAGATCCGTTCAACCTCCCAAGTGTTCGCTGGCTGTGTCAGCCTAGATGAATATATCTACTAGACTCCCATTATTTCCAAGGAACCACAGAGTGCAAATTAGATGGAAGATGTCTGTAGTAGAAGTCAGAGGTACTGTACTGTACCTTATTAACTGCGTAGATATCATCGCAACATTAGTAACAGTAGTGAAAAACAAGTCTCAATCAAGCAACCTGTCTGCGGTGAGCAGATCCCTCGGGGACAGGGTTGTCGTTAATGACCTTCAATACTTGTCCCAGGCCATAGCTCAGATCTCAAATGACACATCCACGTCTCTGACAAGACACACGTCCCCTCATCTCATACACGCATTTGAGTTATGCAATTGACGAGGGCCCCCCAAGCAGTTACTTACGCTACCTCTAAGAGCCTCAGTGACAGGCTACTGCATGCTATACGGCCTGGCGGAACTGAGTTGAGTATGAAGAGCCGCCGGACTATGTCGGTATGCTCCCCCTTTATAAAAGAGGCACTTGCACTTGCGGTAATGATACTTTTCGGTCTACCATGTCGATTCTCAATACCCAACATCTATGCAACGTGCTACGAAAGCATCTCTGTAATCCAACTGGATGAGGCGCTGATTCTTATTTTCCTTGCGGTTTGCCAACCACTACTTCTCCCTAGATGTGATTGAGAAAGTAGTAGAAACAGTCGTCCCGACGCATCAGGCCGGGGTAGCGTCAGTCTTGAGACACGCAAAGGGGAAGGCAGGACCCCAATGTTGACGAAAAGCAGTGAGGTGAGTGTGTTGATACATGTCTAATGTTCCGACATGGAATGCTCGCCGGTCGCGCGAAGAAGCTCTGCAAATATGGACGGCTGCGCCGCCAAAGTGGCTGGGTGTCCACATTCCACAACGCGACCCTGGTCCAACACGATGACCTGATCGTAATCCAGGATCGTGTTGAGTCGATGCGCGATGCACACCACGGTATGGTCGCGAAATCGCTCACGAAGTACATCGAGGATGAGGGCCTCCGTCTCTTGATCGACACTGCATGGTTGAACACGAGGGGTATTAGCTTGAGAGGTCGGAAAACAAAAGACAAAAAAGAAACACCGGACAAGAAGGTAAAGTCTGCTAGAGAGGTCCAGCCTTACCTGCTTGTTGCCTCATCCAGAATCAGGATCTTCGATGTCCGCAGCGACGCCCGGACAACGCACAAAAGCTGCCTCTGGCCGTGGGAGAGCATGTCCTCGCTCATCAAAACGTCCAAGCCACCTTTCCGGACTATGAGCTCCTGCAGTCCGAGTCTGGCCAGGATCTCATACAAGTCCTCATCCGAGTGTTGGCCGTGGATGTCGAGGTTCTCCCGAATCGTGCCGTGATAGAAGAACGGCTCCTGGGGCAGGGTGATCAGCCTCGACCGAACGTCCTGCCGGGCGAGAGTGGAGATGTCCACGCCGTCGATTTCGATCGTGCCGCTGCGCAGGTCCAGGAGTTGCAACAGCGACCCTACGAGAGAGCTCTTACCACTGATGGCTGTGGTCAGCGAAGGCACTCGTAATGACGGTCCACATGGTGTTAATGCTCAGCACAAGGATGCGTACCTGCCAGTTCGGCCGCAAATCGCGAGTTTCTGTCCCGGTTGGACTTCTAGAGAGACATTCTTGAGGACGCTTGGGGACTCAGAGCTGTCAAGTTAGAGTTAGTCTTTACTTGAGAGCCCGGATTTTAATCGACCACTCACTTATAGGCTGCTGAGACGTCATGGAACCTGATGAGGCCTTGCTGCGGCCAATCCGGGGGCGGAGGCGCCCTTGAGCCCGGTTGTTCTTCAGACGGGGTGTTCGAGGTGAAATCTCTGATGCGGGCAATGGCACCCATGGCGATCTCCAAGGCGGTCCAGTTGTACACGAGGCCCTTCAGGTTGGCGCCGAACGCCACCACATTGACCAGCGCCAGACCAATGGATGCACCCGTCGACGTCCGGGTCGTGACCGCAATGCTGACCAGGATGATGGCCAAGACCGCGACAATCATATCCAAGACGAGCGTGAGCCACAGCTGAGCACAGTAGAGCAGATATAACGACTGCTGGGCGGTCCCGAGCAGCCGATCATTCTGCGCGGTATAGGACCGTGTCCAGCCAAATGCACGGATACTGCTCAGTCCTTGCAGGGTTTCCATGAAATGAGACAGCAGAGGCGCTCGGGCTTCGATCTCGAGAATTCGCAGTTGTCGCGAGGTCTTGAGATAGAAGGTCTGCACCAGGTACAACAGCCCGATCAGGAAGGGCACCGTGGCGGCGACGTAGTGGGAGCTATACACGACTACCACCAATTCGCCGATGCATAGAACAAGCGCCATCATCGTGCCGATGAGTGATCGCGGGAGCTCCATGTCCACCAGTTCGAGATCTTGGCTGAATCGGTTGGTGATCTCTCCGCTGTCGGTGACGGAGAAAAATCCCAATGGGGCCCTAGAGGGACAAATCAGCCACCTTGCTCTCCTATGACGCTGACTGAACAAGTCGAACTCAACCTGAGCACTGTTTTAAGGAGACGGTCGTGGAATCCTTTGGCGGTTTTCGGAACCATGACGAGCATAAGTTGGCTGCGGTTCGATTGATATCAATGTTCGTCTCAATTGAATTCGAGGCCTTTGCATTGCGAAGAACTTACAAGCATGCACCCAGGAAGAGTAAGATGGCCAAGACCGACCACAGTGCGTATAATCCAAGATAATACCCTAGTCGATCGTTGGCTCTCCTAGCGTTGGCTTCCACCCAGAACTTGATCCAGACTTCTGCAGGCATTTGTCTCGCAGTGAGTATGAGTACAGGAAAGGAGAGAGAAAGAGGTTATACGACCACTTACGGGAGAACAGCAAGCCAACTACGAAGCCAGAGCACAGGACAAAGAAGACACAGAATGATACGCGCCCCGTCTGGTCCACGTAGAACTTGTAAATGGCCAGGTCACTGGCGGGCAGGTTGTCAGCATTCAAGTTCGCATTGCGGAGAGCCGTGTTAGTGAGTGCAGGATCCTGATTGTCACTTTGGCGATGAACCCGTTCAGTGCGTCCCTCTTTCGGAGTCAGGCTCGCCAGATATCCTCCCGAGTGAACCAGCTCTGAATAGACGCCTTGCTCGACGACTGTGCCGCCTGGCCCTAACACAAGGATATAATCGGAGAGGGAGATGTAGCGAACTAGCAGAGAATTGTCAGCCGGTAGGGACCTTATGGGCCCAATTCGCACCGCTACCTACTGGAGTTCGTGGCCAGGACCGTCGTCGTTCCCTCCTGTCGCAACAGACCTTCGGGTCCAAAGAGCGCCGTAAAGACATGTTGCTCGGTTTTGGCGTCCAAACCGGCAAACACGTCGTCCAGAATGACTAGCGGCTTTCTCGCATAAAGTGCTCGTGCCAATGCCTGCCACGAGATCAGAACCAAGTATCAACGAAACTCCGGGTGGATGTACCAGACGGCCTTTCTGACCCCCACTCAACATGATTCCTTTGCTGCCAATCGTTGCGTTGTCCCCCCCGGGGAGTTGCGTGAAGTCCCGATCTAACATGCAAGCCCTGACGACGGTGTCGTACCACTGGCGGTCGAGCGGAGTCTGCCCGAGAATATTGTTCTGGATGGTCGTGTTCACCAACCACGGGGTCTGGCCGCAGAACGCCACTTCAACGTCATGGACGACGACCGTGCCCGTTCTATGGGGGATTTCGCCGAGAATCGTGTGCAGCAGGCTCGACTTGCCCGATGCGATTGGCCCGATTACCATCACGAACGAACCCCGTGGGATGGTGGCATCCACATTCTGAATCACCGGTTTCGAGAATCGCTCCCAGCTCGCCGAACAGTTGCATAACTGAATCATCGCATTCGGGTCAATCTTCCCCGATATAGTGTCTCTGACCATGGCCTTCTCGTTGTCACTCTCCGACGAGCGCGTGGATTTCGCGGGCGACGGTTCACTAATATGTGAGTCGGTCGTGCTACAGCTGTCGTCGGGCAGCGGAATGCCTGCCTCCAACGCCAGATACGCCCGGATCCGTTCCAGACTGGTCAATGCCTGGACCAGTCCCATCAGAGCGTCGATGCAGCTGGCCACGGCCTGGCACAGAAGAGAAAGAAGGGTCAGGGAGGTGTATGCGGTGGCAGCGGTCAGGGGGGTGGTATTTCGCAACATGGCGAGAATGCTGTAGGTGCCAAAAGAAAACGGTGGTGCCACGGTCGTCGCCAGATACGCTAGGAAACCAAGCTTAGAAGCAGACCTCAAAGTGGTAGAGATAGGCCGAGAGGGTTCTAGCACCTACATAACGTCACCAGCATGACTAGCACTTCGCGGAATTTGATAGAGCTTTTGATCTCATACCTCCGCAGTTGAGTGATCACGGACTGGAGGATATTGGTTGCACCGGTTGCTTTGATCCCTTTGATGGAGTTGATTGCTGCCACGGTCGTAGTGATCCGGGTTTGCATCGCCTCAAGCCACAGCTTCTGGCGCTCACCCATATACCCGCTGACTTTGCCGCTGATGAGGAGGCACGCTGTGCAGTCAGTCATCATGGTTAGCCGTACTGTGGCCCGAATTGCTCCAGAGAGAAAGGACAGAGGAGGTAGGAATGGAGAAGACATCAAACGCCTTTGCTATATACCTAGGACTACCGCGGCGGCAGCCACGGTTGAAACGCCAATCTGGATATCCAGTAACCACAACGAAAGACCGATCTCGAGCAAGCTTGCCCACGTTTCATGGAAGCTTCGAAGCCCCGCCCCAATGCGGTCGATGTCAGCATTAATCAAAGTTAACGAATCACCCTTGGAAGGAGCCGAAATATTTAAGCTCAGGGTATGATCATAAATCAGAAGGATCAAGCCGCCGCGCACCATCACGACCGTGCGATAGGATCGATGATGAAACATCGCTGTCATGACCTGCAGAGCGAATGCTTCCATGAGCAAAGTAGGCAAACAACAGAAGAAGATGGCTTGTTAACCCACTTACGGCGATACCGACGTAGACAATTCCGTAGGCCGCGATCAAGCCGTACCCGACCTCCTTACTCGTAGAAGTTGTGGACTGTCCTAGAAAGCTCGTCACCCGACTGACGAGGAAGGGCTGAGCATAGTTGACGCCTGTCAGACACAGCCGCGGCAGGAGATTGGCGAGAAGTGGCCGCTTGTACACGGCCAGGAGCACTTTGAGAAGGCTTCGGGGTTGCTCTTTCGCTGCTACACAAGAGAATTGGATGGGGTCAGTCTGGGTGGTGCGATTGGCGCGACACTGAAAGTGCCAGAAAGGGCTTCATTACCATGCTTCCACTTTTGACGGATCTCCTCCTTCGACCGTTCCAAACTGATATCCTCGTCGACCGCCAACAGATCCCCGGGTGTCAACGATCGCTTGTAGCCCGCCAACAGGAGGGGATTGAACCACCAGAAGGCACTTCGGTCGAAAATACCGGCAGTCTGCTCCAGCGGCAACGATCGCGCCAGGAGACTTTTCTTCCCGGTAGCTTCCAGTACCAGCAGTACGAATTTGCAGACCACGAGCGCGATGAAGATGCTCGCAATGACTGCATTCCCCGGCATGTGGGACAACGTGCGCGCTCGCGCCGCGTCCAGGGGAATAGTTCCCAGCAGGTATACATTCAGGACCGTAGACGGGCGCAGTGAGCGGGTATGCTCCCAGTGCGAGACGAGGGCGAAGATGGGCGATACGGCGAAGCCAATTGCGATAGCTGCATTGGACAGCCGGGTGGTAGACGTCTTGAGCACCAACGAGAGCACTAAATGTGTTAGTTCAAGCAAGGTCCAGGCGAGCCAACTGAGCTATAAGACGAGGATCATTCAGCTAGACTGTCTCTCGAGCGATAAAGTTGAAAGCCCTGACAGAGCACTCACCTGCTTGAAATACCACCGCGCTCCCCGAACTCTGAGCACTTTGGGTGCGGATCGAAGCTCCCAGAGTCGCCAGCAGCCGCAGATGGTTGCGACTAGCAGGGCAGGCATATAAAGCACACTTTCCTCGAACAGCAGGGTGAAGTCAAAATCGTTGTAGCACCCGGACACTTGAGGCCCAAACACGTCCTCCACTTGAATTCGACATTGTTCCATGGCGTGACCGTCTGCCTAATTCATCTGCCCTGGTGCGCCAATTCGTGCTTGATTCGGGAATCGGCGAAAGGGAGAGGTAGAAGGGCAGGGGAGGAGGGGAGTTGTAGGGGGGGGGGAACTGGAATACAGTTACATGAAGCGGATGGAAAGGGCGGTGTGTAAGACCAGGTCAATCAGCCTGGCGCTTCTAGCTTTGCTTTCTAGTTATGCCGAGCTTCAAACTATTCTAAAATATTCTGACAGGTATGATGATATCGGAAGAATTTTACCCGTCGGGCAGGTGGTAAGATAATTGTGAGGTGATGTCGGGGTTGCGATGAGGGGCCGATCCTTTTAGGGCTTTTCGCTCTCCCTGACGACGCGGCGGCGTTGCTTGCCCTGACCATCTATAAATTCTGGAAATTCCAACCCATGAACCACCGATAATCACTCTCACTGGCCTCATCTACTCTCCATCTCCTCTGTCCCCCTCCGCAATGGCGATTCCAACCCTTGACTTCGCCAAATTCCACAGCGGCTCGGACGCCGAGCGCCGCGAATTCGCCTCTGCTCTCACGACGGGATTCAAGCGCTTCGGATTTATCAAGCTCATCAATCACGGCTTTACCCGGGAGGAAACCTCGCATTTGTTCCAATTGGTATGCTTCTCTGCCTCTGATTCCGTTGGCTTCGATTGAACCTCTCGTTGACTGCGGAATTCTCCTTCAGAACAAGGATTTCTTTGAATTGCCTGATTCATACAAAGACCCCATCCAGAACAAAGAAGGTCCCAAACCGCAACGAGGATGGAGTCGCGTTGGAGCCGAAAAGACGGGCCTCCTGAACCCCGGCGGGAAGACCAATCTCTCGAAGAAGGACCAGCACGACCTGCAAGATGCCAAGGTGAGACAAAGATCTACCCTGTCTACCCTGTCTACCCTCAGTCAGAACTATAGATCCACCCGAGTGATGCTGATTTTGTATCCTGTGCATAGGAGCATTTCGACACCGGCCCAGCAGAGGACCAGGAATACCCGAACCAGTGGCCGGATGACGAGCGGATTCCCGGGTTTCGACCGTGGCTGGAGTCGTACTTTGACCGCAGCCAGGCGATCACGCTGGAGCTGATGGAGGCGTTAGAGCTGGGGCTGGGGATCCGACGGGGCGCGTTTGTAGAGCGATGCCAGGGCCACGCCAGCGAGCTGCGCCTGAATCACTATCCGGCCATCGCGCGGCGCACGCTCGAGGCGGGCAAGACAAGCCGCATCTGGCCGCACACCGACTTCGGCATCATCACGCTGCTGGCCCAGGACGACCGCGGCGGCCTCGAGATCCAGAACGAGGCAAACCCGGCCGAGTTTGTGCCGGTGCCGCGCGAGGATCCCACCGAGTTCGTCGTCAACATCGGCGACACCCTCGAGCGCTGGACCAACGGCGTGCTTCATGCCGGCTTGCACCAGGTCACCGCCCCGCGCGGCGAGAAGGCCTCCACCGGCAGCGACGAGACTATTCTTCCCGCGCGAAGATCCATCGCATTCTTTCTCAAGGCCCGCCGCGATATGTCCGTAGGTCCGCTGCTGCCCTTCGTCACCCCGGACCGACCCTCCCAGTATCAGGACATGACGGCCCTGGCGTATCAGCAGCTGCGGACGGGGATTGTGTATTAGATTGGGACTGATTCCTATGTGGTGGTAATAGAATCGTTCTTGATGCTGAATAATGCTACATATGATGATGAAATACATGTGCTGTATTGTGCGACTCGTAAGGAGATCGGGTGTCTTGCTTGTTGTTTGTATAGAATACCATAGTAAAAGAAAAAATTGAGTCCGTCTACTTTTGAATGGTCCCATTATTTACTTGCTAGTTTATTCCATTGTTGAAAGAAATAGAATTTCTCGTTCGTAGTTTTATTCAGCTCATAGTTACAAGATGAGGTAGAGATTTGTGCAGTGCATGTTTTGGAATGTACAATGAGTAAAAGCAGCACTCTTCAAACGCCGTGTACATCAGGGTTCGCTATTCAAAACAAGAAAAAGAAAAGAGAGAGAGAGAGAGAGAGAAAGAGAGAGAGAGAGATAAGTACCCCCCGAATTGACAAAACGGAAAGGAATCAAAAAGGGGGAAACATGGGGAATGAACTCGTATGGCAAAACATAGACATAGACATCGTCACTGGGTATGTGATTGCGACACCAGACAGAACGGCATACGGGCCTCCCCACCAGGCAGTACCCACAAGCCGGTGGCATGCAATGCCCTCGATTAGGAATATATGTTGTTGCTAGCGGGCTAAACCGCCGGTCTGCACAGTTGAAGCAGGTCCTCAGTGTCATATAAGTAGTCCCCGAGGCCACCTTCGTCGACTGTCTCAAACGCGAAAGTCTGCGACAGGTCGGCGCCCTCCAGCACGTCGAACACGTCTTTGGACAGCGCCTGGCTCAGGCTTCGCAGGTACGTCCCGCGATGTTCTTGCAGGTAGGCCAAGAAGATCCGCATGGTATCGCTGGGCAGCTTTTCCACTCTGTGGTTGCGCGAGAATTTCCAAGTCAGTTTCCTGTCAATTGACCTGGGGGTTCCTCCTGCGATCTCGTGGATGGAACTTACTGGTCAATACTGATGGAGTACCTCCCGGCGCAAGGGATCAGGGCCAGAATCCCTCCCGGGAAGGTGTGCTCGAAGGGATACCAGTTGCGTGCGCACGAGAGGCGGTTGCGCAGCCGGGTTAATTTTCGCGTGTAAACGCAATCGTTGGTCGAGCGGTTACTTGATTCAGCTGGGATGGGCGTCAGGCCCGGGTACAGCATCTGCATCAGATCGGTCAGAGCCTGCGTCTTGGACCGGTGCTTGGGGCGTGGCTTGCTTGTGGGCCGTCGTCCCCCGGCGGTCGATGCTGCGCGGACTGCATCGCCATCGCCCCCGTCGCGGATCAGTTGTAGGCGAGCGCAGTCGTACTTTAGCATGCGCTTGGACCCTCGACAGGCAAGTTTGGCGGCGATGTGATCCTGCTCCAATCGGGTACGGTGGGTGAGGAGACGGACCAAGTAATAGCGCCGGAGGATATGGGATAGGGTGGTGATGGAGTCGAGTTGGTCGAGGGCTTGTACCGTCGTGGCCAGGTCATTCCGGGGGCCGCCAGCCGTGGCCACTGGGAGGACAGAGGACTTGCGCGCCAGATGAAGGGCATGGCGTAACTGATTCAGCGCATCCGGACTTCCAATGGCGTAGAACAGGCGGGTAAAGAGCTCAGCCACCTGCCGCTTGCTGTTGGGGAGCTGTTGGCTGAACACGGCGTAGACCTGATCCGCCGACGGCAGATGGTCTGGCACGCAATATACCCCCGTTAGCGATGGCAGCGCTGCGGCGTAGTCGATCTCCATAGGCTGCCCCCCTGCTTCCTCAGCCTCACTGCAGGGTTGCACCGCCACTAGAGCATCCCCTCCCCCCTTCTCAGCCACATTCCTGGGCTGGGGAGGGGGGGACGACGCCGGGAGCACTGGGGAAATGGCATAACTGCGCCTGTTCTCGCAGGCCGGCGAATCCTGGGCATGCGCTGCGGGGGTGACTGGCTGTGGCGTGGGTCTTGGTCTTGCTGGGGAGGGTGATGGTGAGGGGATCCCCTGCTGTTGTTGTTGTTGTTGTTGTTGTTGTTGTTGTTGTTGTTGCGAAAGCGAGCTGTGTCTAATACCTCTATCGGGTGCTGGTGAATGAGCGATGGCTGGGGTGATAGGGGTGTCCTCTCGCACCGTCCCCGGCCGGGCATCATTGCTGCCTACTAACGTTGCTGACGCCGGCCGCGCTGCATTCTGCTTCGAATTCGTGGCCTGTCTAAGCGCATGACCACCGTGAGTTAGGGCAAACATCTCGCCTTGTTCAACCAGTAGATCCAAGTCCACAAAGTCTAAAACCGCCGGGGCCAGCTCCTCATTGGGGTCTTGACCCTGCACCCCTGGCCAGAGAGGCACACTAGTCGGTGTCTTGGGACTCAGTCGAGCGGGCGTATCATTGAGACCCCCTTGCGAGGACCACCACTGCATCTCATCGCCCCCCCCAGACTCCATCCCCGTGCATGGATCCAGGTCCCCGCTCTGCCGCAGCATCGCCAGATCCTCCGCGAGGAGAAGAACGGGGGACAGAGCCGGCCAGTCCCCCGTCGCGCCCGACGGGGTGGATGTTGTGGAAAGCGCCAGGTCCAGCGACCCGGCATTGATATCGTGGAAGTGTTGAAAAAAGTCGGCCGGCGACGATGCTCCATGAACCCCAATCCCGACCTCCAGATCTCCTGCAGGGGTATTAAACGGGAGATGATCCCCCAGACTGGTTTGCTTTGGGGTCAGCGCATCTCCTAGTTCCTCTGCGGCGACAAGCTTTTCTTTCGCTTTATCCGAGGCCGATAGGGAGCCGATGCAGTGTAGAATGTCGAGTAGCTTTTCCTTGGCGATATTTCTCGCCTCAACAAAGGTACTGGAGCAGGAGGAGGTGGCCAGCGCATCTAGGAGTTTCTCGCGGAAGTCTACGCAGAGCCGGTCCATCAACACGAGATCATGACAGTCCTGCTGGGGCGTGGTTGGCGTCGCACGCGATCCCTCCACGAGATGCATTATTGTCTCGTTGGCCCTACAGTATGGGAAAAGATAAGAAGGAAAAGGGATGCGATGCGTGATACGTCTCGCGGAACACTGCAGAACCACACAAACCCTAATCAGAGAGCGCAGAGTTAAAATTTAGATCAATTCTCACAGCTGGCTCGACTTGCTCGAGCCTTGACTAAATAAAAACACCATGTCTGGGATCTGGGGATTTTTATTATCCCTGCCTTTGGTATTCAATCCTTGGCGACTAGGTCGCTATGTGATCGAGACATTGAAGCACCATTATTGGCCTCTTTTCATGTCCGACAGTTAGTACACCAAGCCATGCTAGACCACACCAGGAATGCGCACTTCTACTGCTGACGCGGACATATCCGGAGGCTCAGCACTTGTGCAAAACGTCTCTGCAGGAAACTGAGCCTCATAAGCCTCAGGATTCACCAGGCAGTATGCAGCTTATTCTTATTCTTCTTCTGCGTCTTCTCTTCTTCTTTCAGGCGCACGGACCCAGGAAACTGTCCCGTCCCCCTGCATCTGCAGATACCAAGCCGAACAAGGCTGGCTTCGTTTGTCTTTACTCGGTCTGATTTCCCTTGTCAGCATCATATTCACCATATGGTAGTATTAATAATCCGGTGGCCGTGAGCGGAAGGAAAGAGGGAGCGAGGATGAAGGAGGGGAAAAGAGGGGAAAGGAGGGGAGGGAGGGGAAAGGAAGCCACAAGAGGGAATCCTCCGTGCAGGATTCTGCATTAGATAGAATTAAGGCCCTCGTGTTGAGGGTATATGTCCTGTTACTATGGCAAACAGAGGAGGTCCGGAGCCATTTGGATCTGGGATGCCACGCGGGAGGGGTTTCCACAGTGGCATGAGTTCTCCGCAGTCATAGTGGAGGACATATATATGTCGTACCCGCAGGAGCCAGTGCTTGGCAGCACGCCACGTTGCTGCTGATTCAGCGACGCAGTTATCGCGATAGCCTACAACGTGGTGAGCACAGTTCACATAAGCGCGTTTGACAGCACCTGTGGAATGCGAGACGTTCACTAGAATGTGACTGTGATAGCTGCACGTGTTCCCCATTGTTGCAGGGCAAAAGAAATAGGGGGACTCACTTTCCTTCCTTTCCTTCTTCTGCTTCGGTCCCCCATGTCCACTGTTCCTTCCTGTGTGCGGGAAGGAGCAAGACGAGGTGTTGTGAGTATTTCTTCTCCATTGCTGCTGCTGCTGCTGTTACTGCTGCCATCTCATTGGCCATAAAACATCTCCCCCTCTCTTTCTTGTCCGTTCCTACTTTGCAAGGCTGCGCGAGAGAAGAGCACAAATGGGACCGGAAAATCATCCCACGAGTGTGGAGAGTGTTCGGGATGAAATCGCTTCGATGCACTGCAAATGGCCTAGATTGACCACGGGTCAGTGAAGCCCCGGTGTTAAGAGCCTAACTCACCTTATGTCGCGTCCGGCTTACGGTGGGGAAGTGGGGATTGAATCAATTCGTTCACTCGTATCTGGCTGTCAGCACTAGCATTCCTGCTGGCATTTGGTTAGCGCGCGATCCCTCTTCATGGCAACCGTCGGACTTGGCGTTCGTCGAGCCCCCACTCTTTCTGGCCCCCATCAAACTGAACTCAAAAAAGCTGAAAATAAGAAAGAAACACAAAAAGGATCGACGTGCATGACCCACGAAGGTGGGACGCCTATCCAAGTACCCTGATGTCCTTTTGAGACATTGTCCGCTAGTGTCCGACTGAGATGACAGCTGTGGCAAATGTGCGATGTGCCGTCGTCGGCAGAAGAACAATATATATCGGCTAGATTGGATTGTGGCGCGTTGTTGCGTTTCAACTCTCCCCATCGTGTGTAAATCCATAAAGCGGAGGTTAGGGCTACGTCCTCTGGGTTGGATGTCGTGCCCTAACGGGCTAGACCACACCGTAAGACTGTCCAAGTTGCAACGTGAACTTTCGACTTCGCAACACACCTGTACATAAGAAAGGTAGATCTTGTGTATGAGGGGTAAGCTATAAACACGGTTCAGAGTAAATGGTTGAGGTTGAGGACCTAGGATCTCCCTGTAGTTGACATAGAAAGAAACATGTCTATAAGTACATCGAGTCATCCCTTTTCAGCTTGCTTGAATCGACCCTCCCCGACTGTTCTCGATCAAAAGTCGGTCAGTCTTCTGCCTCCAAACTGCACCAATCCCCTCTTTTATCCTCAGAGTTCAAACTCACAAGATGGTCTTCGCCTCTGCGCCGTGGTGCCGTGACCTGGCCGTGCCCTTCCCCGAGACCCAGCTGGTCGGCGACTTCGTCCTGGAAGGAGTCAGCGATGGCTTCGAGGAGAAGCCGCTGCTGGTGTGTGCCGAGACCGGCCAGTCGTACCGTGTACAGGATCTCGACTATCGCGTTACGATGCTGGCGCGCAGCCTCGCCCGGAGACTGGGATGGCAGGCGACCGAGGGGCCGCCTGAAACGAAAGTCGTGGGCATCTTGGCCCTCAACGCGGTAGGCCGGACATGACTTGGCTCTCCTGTTCTGTTCAACACTGTAGCTAACGGAGAGGCGGTCGCTTCAGATGGATTTCGTGCCTCTGTCCTGGGCGATTCACCGCATCGGCGGCACATGTCTCCTGATGCACCCGACCTCGTCGGCCAGCGAAATCCAGACCCTGATGCGCAAAGCTAACTGCCACACCCTTTTCACCTGCCGTCCCTTGCAACCGCTCTGCGAGGCCGTGTTTGCCGCCTTGCACGAAGATCCTGACCGGTTGTTTCTGCTCGAATTACCCAACGACGATGCCAGCACGCCGGCGACCCGGGCCACCGTCTCCGAGCTGATCGCCGAGGGAGAGCATCTGCCCGCCGTGGCGAGCATCCTTCTCCAGCCAGGGGAGTCCCGCGACCGGGTCGCATATCTCTGCCCGACCAGCGGCACTTCCGGGTACCAGGTGAGAGAACCGATGTCCTGCACGAGCCTCAGGTGAGAAATCGAAGGCTCTGACTGACATCGTGCGCAGAAACTGGCGCAAATCACCCACGCCAACGTCATCGTCAATGCCCTCCAGGCGGTTACTCTGGACTCATATGCGACCGGACCCAAGAGCCAGACCACTCTGGGCATCCTCCCGTTGAGTCACGCCTATGGCTTGATCGTACTGCATACGTTGATGTGTCGGCGCGATACGACGATCCTGCACGCCCGCTTCGACATGCCGGCGGCGCTACGGTCGATTCAACAATACCGCATCGAGCGGTTGTATTTGGTGAGAATCTCCTCTGTGGCAATAATACGGACATGCGTGTGCATACTGATGCGGGCGGCTCCTGCTAGGTTCCCGCGATTGTGGCGGCGTTGGTAAATAACCCTATCTTATTCAAGCTGGCCGATCTGTCGTCCGTGCAGACGGTGGTCTGTGGATCCGCGCCCTTGAGTGCCGACATGATGGGCGCCATGAAACGGGTGCGTCCCGACTGGGATCTCCTCCCTGGTTATGGTAGGTCAACCGCCAACCGCAATGGATTGAACTGTTGTGACAAACATCTGACAAGGCGTGATAACGATAGGATTGACCGAAGCGGCGGTGATTGTCTCGTACACCAGTCAACATAGCATCTTCCCCGGCTCGGTGGGGAGCCTGTTGCCCCAGGTGAAGGTGCGACTGCTCGATGCGAATGGGGTGGAGATCCACGACTACGACGTCGCCGGCGACCTCTACGTGCGATCCCCCAGCGTCATGAAGGGCTACCTTGGGGAGAACGAGGCGGACTCCTATGCCTTCGACCAGGACGGCTGGCTGGTCACGGGCGATGTGGCGTGCATGCGGCGCGGCGCAGACGGCGAGGAGCATCTGTTCATCGTGGATCGCAAGAAGGATATCATGAAGGTCAAGGTTCGTGTCGTTTATTTTCCTTGCCGTCACATGCAGCGTCGCTAACGTAGGCACGCATCATAGGGCATCCAAGTGGCGCCGGTCGAGATTGAAGCGCAGCTCTTGAACCACCCAGCTGTGGACGAGGCCGCGGTGATTGGAGTCCAAGATGACGCGACGGGCGAGCGTCCATTTGCCTTTGTGGTGCGCTCGCGCCAGGTCGATGCCCAGATGGACGAAGCGACTCTCCGCCAGGCGCTGGCGGCGCACATCCAGACTACTCTGAGTGAGCCGTTCTGGCTCCGCGAGAACATTCGGTTCTTGGAGGCGATCCCGAAAAGTCACAGCGGGAAGGCGCTGAAGTTCAAGCTGAAGGATTTGGTGTGAGGTGTGGACGGAGTCCAAGCTTATCAGCCACCTTTTGATTAGATACCCACCAGGAAATGAGAGTCCGTTCAGACGAATCTGTACATTGTGGTATTAGTAAACTTAGCACTGCAACTAAGGAAGACCACCGGATTTGCTGATGCGAACAGGAGGTTCATTGTCAACCGTGTCTGATGAACGAATGACTTCTGAGTGAGTAGATGTGTAAGTTTGATCCTAGACCCGAAGCTGAGCGCGTCAATATTGTTGTACAAACATCAGCGTGACCGAAATGCAAACGTCTCATCATCCTAACCATTATTACATATTACTGTATGTGTGAACTACTCCCAGACGTTGGGACGGAGAATGGACCATTTGCCTAGTCCGCGGTTCGCCCGCATGCGAACAGCCACTTTCATTGCTTCTCCAGCCACCGCGGATGACAGGGTATTATTGCTGTCTGTGACTGCAAATAGCTCTCCTAAAGCCAAGGCTAAATTGGACACGAGAATTAGATCATAATGCGAATGATGGCATCGAAAAAGGTGGATAAATACATGAATATCGCTCCCCAACGGATCCCGTGACCTATATAACCCTACAGCGAGAAAGGAAATGGTACGTCCCACCAAGTGAACCAGTGAGCCAGACTGTCTTGAACCCGATTAAACATCAACTCCGTCCCATAATCACGCCGTGTTCATCTCCTCCTCAGTCCGCCGACGAATCATCAACAGCTCCTGCGGCCCTCGCAGCGTCAACTCGGTGAACAGGCCCGCCGTGGTAGGCGGGGGCGGGATGACCTTGATCTCATACTTGGTGAAAATATGAGCGAACAGCAGCTTCAGCTCATCGGTGACGAAGAAGCGGCCAGGGCATGCGCGCTTCCCCATGCCGAAGGAGAGAAAGCGCTCCGAGGCGCGGGACATGGGTACGCGCGGCGCCGCGGCGTGCTCGACCTCGTAACGAGACGGATTGTAGGTGGTGGCCTCGGGCCACAGGCTGTCGTCGCGGTGGATGGCGTAGGCCGCGACGCTGATGCGCGCCCCGTGCGGCAGACGCAGGCCCCCGGCCTCCTTGTCGGCGGCCAGCGTCGCCCCCGTGGGGCTGGTGACCTGGCGGATGAGCCCCGGAAAGACGACCGCCAGCCGCAGGCTCTCCTTGAGCGCGTTCTCGATGCATCCCAGCTTATCGATGTCCTTCTTCTCTGGCCGCTGCTGGCACTCGCGCAGCACCGTCCGCGCCTCCGCCGTCACCAGAGCCCGGTACCCCTGCGCCTCGCCCAGTGTCGTCAGGTCCGCCAGGCACTTGCTCATCGTGTTGGTTGTCGTCTCGATCGACGCCAGGTTCGCCATGCCCACGCGCGCGATTGTCCGCTGCTCTAATCCGGCCATGGGCTCGCCGCGTCGGACGGCGCGCTGCACAATCCACGTCAGGAACTCGTTCGGGAGCTCGTCCGCCGCAGATGCGTGCTCGGGCTGCTCTTCTATCCGCTTCACGTCGTGAATCCGCTGTCGCACCACGGACTGCAGGTGGCGGTTGAAGCCGGCCATGTAAAAACGATTAATCCACTTGACAATCGCGGAGACAGGGCCCTTCAGCGGCCGGGGCAGCAAGTCCTGGAACACAGTCTCGGGCATGACCGCCAGCCCTAACCCGACGGCGTCACGGATGTACTGCTCGTTGCGACCTACGCGCCTCCCCATCTTCCCCGTTAGTGCACGACTAATACTTGCCTTGGTAGCATAAATGGAAGGGTTGCGTACAAAGTTCCTTCCCGACGAACAACCTATTGGTAATCCGCGCAATGATGGTGCGCGTACTGTCCTTGAGAGGAATCGTGCGCCACTCGGGCGAATCGCCCCACACGGCATGCAGCGCGTCCACAATCTCGTCGTTGATGTCGGCCGTCAGCCGCCCCAGGTTGTGCGTTAGTTCCTTGCGCAGCACCTCCTGCACCGAGTGGTCGCCGACCAACCCGTCCTGCACGAAGGCGTGGAATTCGTCGTGGATCGGATCCATGCTTAGCACGGATTCCGGCTGGTCGATGATCCACCGGATGTATTTGGGTGGGAGGATTATTTGGGGTCGACCGAAGGCGATGGCGAGCGCGGCAGCGCGGCCTTTTTTGTTGCACTGGCGAGGAACGGGGATCAATCACTTGTCACTTGTGCGTGTATGCAGGGTAGGGGGGCCAAAGGAGAAACGTACCTCCAGATAGGCTTGCATGATATTCTGTTTCATCAGGAAAAAGGATCGCGCCTTTGCACGCATATAGCCGAAGCTCTCTGGGGGTCGGTCGATCCATTGCACCTCCTTGGGAACGATGTACTCCCACGTAGTCAGCCTGTTGGCAAGAACGAGGAGTAGCAAGATGACGATCACCGCCAGACTGCCTTGTATAAGGAGTGGAAGGTTCAAGAGACCTTTAATCATGACGAGAGCCCGAGGGATACACACCAAGAAAAGATGTTCGGAAATGGAAAAGGGGGGAATTGAAGTAATGAGAGGTTGCTTATGGATGCCAGCCTATATATATAGCAGCTGCCAGAGCCACAAAGCTAAAGACCATCGGTCCAGTAGAGACCCGTCACTACTATTGAGGTCAGCCCACTCGCCGAGAGATCATAAACCAGCAGGCCATCCAGTTGTGAGCCTGGCCGGAGTCGAGCTCACAGCAGCAGGCTATACGAGTGGGTCCAAGGCGGTTTTAAGAATAGTGTGTGAGTGTATAGAGTGCCCACCATAGAGCGTACAGGGCGGATTTATAATGATACAATGCTCTGTATTTTTTAGAAAGCTAAGACAGACAGACAAATCCAATAACCATAATCAGTTCAAAGATCTGGATCCCCGACGGGGCGAATATACTATGAGATACAAAGGCACGAGACTATCATGAATACTCCAGCCGAACGGGGACATCAAACCTCCAGACCCATCAACGTCCCTCTCACGCCGCGGCCACCGGAGCCTCGCGCTGCGGCGCCTGGCGAATGGATATCATGTCGTGCTCGCCCTCAGGCCGGACATGGCTGAGCGGGCGCGCAAAGGCATCGAACTTGCGACAATGATAATTCTCGTAGCTCCAGACAGTCCCATCGTCGGCGGTGATCTGGGCCTGCTCGTTCGGACGCACAAAGTACGCCAGGGTGTATTTGGTCGCCTGGGCGTCGGTGTCGCTGGGCACGACGCGGTGCAGGGAGGGGATGATGCGCCCCCGCGAGAGGAACTTCAGGCAGTCGCCGAACTGGACGAAGAGCTGCGCCGGATCTGGCTCCACAAACTCCCAGTCCTGCCGCGCGACATCGATGACCTGCAGCCCCCGCGCGGTGGCCGAGAGTAGTGTCAGGCTGCCCACGTCCGTGTGCGCGATGTGTCCAAAGTTGCGCGACCCGGGCGGCTGCGGCGGATACTTCAAGAAGCCCAGGTTCGTGACCGAGGGCTCCGAGGGCTGATGGGCCGCCAGCAGCGCGTCGCCAAGATCCAGAACTTCGCTGACGCGCCGTAGGATGAGCTGCGCTGCTTGCTCGTAGTGCTCCATGCAGCGTGTGAGAGCCTCCCGGTGGGTGAAAACCAGATCGGGGGACTGGAGACCGGAACGGAAACTGGGCAGGAGAAACTCATTTTGGGGCAACTGAAATATAGAGAATGGGTTAGCCTCGTCTGAGGTAGAAAGGGAAAGAGGGTAGGGTAGGGTAGGGTAGGGAATGGCAGAACACAGCGCCCAGGCAGAATACCATAAACATCTCGAATCCGTCGGGCTCTCCGGCCTTCGCGCCTTCCTCAATGCCCAAGGGCTTATATCTGCAGGGCCACACGGACTGCTGGTCAGTGGACGGCCATCTAAGTCGGGTTCGGCTGGGGGTCCAGGGATGTTGATATCGTTTAGCTTACCCCGTGGTTCGAAACCGTCCTAGTGTCTTGAAATCAAAGCGCTCCTTGACAGGAGTGGGGATGTCGAAGACGTTCTCAGAGAATTTCTTAAGAAAGCGAATGTCCTCACGCAGCCTCACGCCCTTTGGACAGTCGAGATCCAGACTAAAGAAGCCATCCACGAGAGCTGCTTGCGTGAGCGACTGGAGGTCTTGCTCGGCACCCGTGATCAGTCCGTGGTAGGAGATTCGAGGCATGATGCAGCTTCACAGATGTGGCAGGGATTTAATGGAGAGTGGAGGGAATGTGTCAGGCGGACGTATTCTATGCCAGGGCGCCGGCGGTGCAGAGGGTCAGCGGCCTCCTTTTATGTTCCCCCTTCGTGTTCAGCCGAACTCAGAGCAGGCTAGGTGGCCTGATCCACTGTCTTCCGAGCCGAGAGTCGAGGCATGATATAATTTAAATAATGCAGAGCGCGTGAGGGCTACAGAGGCATTGCGTGGGAAACGCGTATAAAGTTAGGGCAAAGGAGAACGGGCAACGAGAATTCAAGTCATTACAGCGAAGAAATTACATACATATAACTAATGAAGAGTACCATATATACATAGAACCTGGACATATAAGACATCAACCGACATAGATATTAAACAGCCAGTGAGGTCTGGCCTCTTTGCCGCGAACCCGCCGTGAACCATCGAGCATAGCTCTTCCGGGCACTTGTCCACATCGTTCTGAGAGACAGCCGCTTTGCTTTCGTTGAGGGTAGGCCCTCCTCGAGACCCGCTTCATCCTCACGGCGTGATCCCACTAATATTGCCTGGGCGGAGTCGAACTGGTCGCTCAGACCCAGAAGAGAGGCTAAGTAGACCGCGTCCAAGAGATCGCCGCCCCTCTGTGCAAAGGAGGCTGCCGGCCTGGTCTTGCCCGTGGCGACCCCCCGACGACGCTGCAGAACTACTTCCCACTCTGGCCGCTGTTTGATCTGTAGATACGACGCCATGATCAGGGGATCCTCGCCCGAGATCCGCTCCGTGATCTGCACCACCGGCGCCGATGACCTCTTCCCCTTCCCCCCGGATCGGGTTACAGGGGCCGATAACATCTCCTTGATGGTGCGAGATGGCTCGTTCACGAGGATCGTGAGCGTCTCGGTGAGCATGCGCACATACTCCGATGCCATCTCCGGCGTGATGCTGTCAGCCCGGTAGGCCAAACGTAGGTCCAGCGCGCCGTCCTTCCGGCTGACGGCCGTGACCCCCACGTCAACTGTCCATGTCGCGTCCAGCGCATCGAAGCTGGAAATAGTGTACTCCTGCCCGCTCATGCAAACGGTCCCGTTCGTCTGCTCGGTGATGTGGTTCAGTGCGGATGTAAACCTCGTCGAGGTCGCCCAGTCGGTGCAGTCATGGAGGATGTCTCGGAAGCCCAGGTGTCCGTGCTCGAAGCTCTGAATCTGCTGCTCGCGCACAGTTTGCAGTAGCTTGTGCGCTGTGAGGGCAGGAGAGGACAGCTGCACGCGGACGGGGAGCAGCGTGACGCAGCAGCCCGTTGCATTCATCCGGGTAGCGTCGACGGTGCCCCGTGTGGAGACAGTGTCGGCGAACACCACGTCCTGGCTCTGGGCCACACGGGCCAAAGTGATCGCCCATGCTGCCTTCACCAGGACCGGCCTGGTGACGCCCGCAGACAGCGGGCTGGCGAGGGTCACCGTCCGTGGGGTGAGGTGGGCCACGGTAGATGGATATTGTCCGATGGCGGAGGTGGAGCGGCCCAGTTGGGGCATACACGAGCCCGCCAACAGGTCGGTCCAGTAGTCGTACGTTTGTGCGGTGATGCATTGCTGCTGGTGGTAGTAGAAGCTCGCGAAGGATGGGAATCGAGGCGGGATTGTGCCCTCGAACAGACAGCGCAGGGTCTCCCAGATCACATTGATGGACACGGCATCGTACTCAGCGTGCGTCACGCGCAGGAGAAGTCGGTGTCGCGTGCTGTGCGCCTCCTCGACAATGGCCATCTGCATGAAGGGTTCGCCCAAGCAGGGGGCTGGGAGCAGCTGGTGGTTGATGATCTCGGCCGTCTTCGCTTCGAGCGTACGCTCCGTGTGGAAGATGGGGATGTCCGGCTCATAGGCACTCTTGACCACCTGCAGCAGGCGGCTTTGATCGAAGATGTAGGCCGTGCGGAGGATAGGCAGGGCGCGGATGAGGTCGAAGCAACTTTTGCGCAGCCGCTCCACGTCACAGGGGCCCTGGCCGTCGAGCAGGAAATGCGCACAGTTGGCCGCGGCGGGGGTCGTGAGCACGCCTGCCACCGTGAGGGCTTGGAAATCGGTGGTGGGCAGGATATCAACGACCTCGTCCGCACATCTGATGTTGCAAACGGGGGAGACCACTTCGTGGATAAATGCTTCGGGGTTATCGGTGTCTATTAAAGAAAATGGGACCACGCCTTCCTCTTCCTCTTCCTCCTCCTCCTCCACCCCATCATCTTTCTTCTCTTCTTCTAAACGTGCCTCTACACGCGCGCTGACGACCTCAGCCAGCTCAGACAGACAAGGGTGTTTGAAGATGTCCGCCACGCTTAGCTTGAAAGAACGAGAGCGTGATGCGGCCACCATGCGCATGGCGGCCAGGGAGTCTCCGCCAAGGTGGAAGAAATTGTCATGGGCCCCGATTTCGTCGACCGGGAGATGGAGCCCATCAGCCCACAGGGCCTGTAGTCGGCGCTCCATCTCGGTGGAGGGGGAGACCTTGGGACCGTCGCCCACGCGATACTGCCGCAGATTGTCGTTGTCGTTGTCGTCGTTGTCTTGCAAACGTGCCAGCATCGTGCGGAGGAGCTTGCGGTCCAGTTTGCCGGAGAGGTTGCGACTCATCTCCGCAATGGGCACGAACACGGCCGGAACCATGTACACAGGGAGTGTTTGTGATAGGATGCCGTACAGCTTACTGAAGGCCTTTCTTAGGGCCGGGGATGGCGCCAGCAGTCCCGTCAGGGTGATTGTGCCACGCCGATATTCACTGTCGCCAGCAAACTCCACCGCGGCGACCAGGAAGATCCGCTGCGTGTCCTCGTCGGTGAGCGGCTCCACGGCCACTGTACTCACACCGGGCAGATGGTGCAGGATCTGATGTTCAATCTCACCGAGCTCGACACGCTGACCCCGGATTTTGATCTGAGAGTCTATTCGCCCGAGGTGGATCAAAGTTCCATCCTCGTTTTGTTGCACAAGATCCCCCGTACGGTAGAGCCGGCGTCCGTGGAGGCCCAGACGCCGCGTGAACTCGGGATCGACGATAAATGAGGCCTGAGTGCGGACGGGGTCACCGAGGTATCCCCGTGCCAAGAAGGGCCCTTCAATCCAGAGCTCGCCGGGTGCGCCGAGAGGGCTCAGCAGATGGGTTTGCGTGGGCTGCGTGACCCATAACCGGGTCGCCAAGGGGAAGCCGATGTTGCTGACTTCGTGGGCATTGGGGTAGGGCCGAGTACAGGTACTCATAGACCCTTCGGTGGGCCCATAAGCGTTGTAGATATCGGCGTGGCCCAGCCAGATGCTGACGACGTCGGCCCGAACAGGCTCGCCTGTCAGAATCAGGGTATTCAGGGCTGGCACGCGACTGGGCGCCACATGCCGTGCAACAGTGGAGGTCAGCATCGCTGTGTTGACTTCCATATCTGCCATTACCTCGGTGAGCTGGTTCATGCGGGCCTCCTCGGAGGGGATGCAGACGACGCCACCAAAGGCCGTCGTAGCGAAGGTGTCGGTGATGACATTGTCGAAAGTGTAAGAAGCAAACTGCAGGAACCGCGTCGCAGGCGTGAGACCCAGCCAGCGTCCCTGTTCGTCTAAACTCGTCGACATGGTTCCGTGCTCGATGACTACGCCCTTGGGCACGCCTGTACTGCCCGAGGTAAAGATAGCCCACGAGGCGTTGGACGGCGTCACTCCCATCTCCGGCGCTTGTTGGCACCGTGGCCAAGTATCGAAATGATCATGGTCGAGGGTGACGAGCTGGATGTTGGCGAGGTTGGTCAGCCCCTGCAGTCGCTTGGCCTGTGCAGGGCTGACGATGATCAGGCGTGCCCGCGAGGCGTCGAGGATAGTGTCAATGCGGGCCAAGGGGTGTGATATGCCCAAGGGCATGATGGCTCCCCCGGCTTGCATGATCCCCAGCATCGCCACGGCGCCCCATTTCGATTTCTCCATACAAACTCCCACAATGCCTTCTGGCCCGACCCCGAAGGAGACGAGCTGGTGGGCCACGCGCGCACCCGCCTCATAGAATTCGCGATAGTTCATATCGCCATCCCAGGCGTGGATAGAGATGGCTGTGGGTGAGCGTTCCACCTGTTCGCGTATCATCTCGTGGATGCATTTTTCCAGCCGGGGCGGAACGTCCGCATTCCAGTGCAGGATCTGCTGCTGATCCGCGTCATTGATGGCCAGAATCTCTGCTAGGGGCTGTGATTGCGTGCTCGGATTGCATAGTCGGTGGAACAGGCAGGCGAAGTAGTCGATCACTCGTTTGACCTGGGTCGAAGCCATGATCTGCTTATCGTAGTGCACATCTACGGTGAGCTCCTGTGCCCCAAGCTGGCACTCGAGGGTCAGCGCATGTGCATTGAAGGGCTCGATCGGCAGGGGGATGGTCTCCAGGCCGGGGAAGTCTAATTGCCCTTGCGAATCCTTCTCTTCAGCCAGCTGGATGACCAGCAAGCTGCCCGTGTCCAGCGTGCTAGCCAATGTGGGCACCAATGCCTTGATCCCCTGTAGACCGGTATGCTCGTGGTCAATCATATGTGTTGCTTGCCGCTGCATTGCATCAAGATAATCGGCCACAGTCCTTGTGTGGTCGACTCGTGTACGAATTGGCACAGTCGTAATGGTTGGGCCCGCGATATCTGATATGCCTCGAACCGGGGCATTGCGGCCGGAAACCGTGGCTGCAAAGGCAATGTCCCCGTGTCCCGAGTACTGGGCCACGACCAGCGCCCATGCGGCGCGAAGAACGGTCGAGATTGTCACCTGGCCATGTCTCTGCGTCGGCGGAAGTGGGATCGTTGCATGAAAGTCGTCCTGTGGCAGTGGTTGCTTGTCTGAGACTCGTCGTGGCCAGCTGGCCATCACGTCGCCCTCCAACTGCTCGCGCCAGTAGTGCGTGCTCGCCACGGTGTCCGGGCGACCGTGTTGAAGATACCGGATGAATTGCGTGTAGGGGACCGCGGATGCAGACCGGCCCTGGCGGTAGATGTCCAGGAGGCGTTTGCTGAGTGCACCGACTGTCCAACCATCATACAAGGCATGGTGCGCAGTCCAGATAAAGTAGCATGCCCCGGTGGGCTCCTTGACAAACCCATAGCGAACCAGCGGCTGGCCCAGAGACATGCCCTGAGCGCGATCAGCCTGCAGGTACTGCTCGAGGTCTGTGCCTGATTGCCAGCAGATGTCGGCACGCACCACCACCTGCAGAGCGGGGGATTCATTGTCTACCAGGATTCGTGTGCGCAAAATGCTGACTTCTGCAGACAGGGTCTCCCATGCCGCCTGCAACTGGTTGCGATCTACGGCGCTACCCATCGCATACACCTGTCGACTTACATAGGCTGCCGGCTGACGCGCCGTAACGGCCATCAAGCCCTCCTGCAATGGTGTACAGGGATAAACGTCCTCGATCTGGTCCAGGCTTACCCCGACACTCGTCGCGATGCGGAGTAAGCGCTGTTGTCGCTTGTCTGGGGACTCGGCAGCATGAAGCTCGTCCCACAGCTCGAAGGGGGCAGGATTTTCGATGTCCTGTGCCAGTTTCTCTTCCAAGGACCGGGCTGCGAGCGTGGCAGCCAAATCTGCTAGCCGGGGTGACTTGAAGATATCTTCTACGCTCAGCTGCAGCCCGTGAGACACAGCGACGACAACCATCCGCATCGCCGTCACCGAGTCCCCACCCAGGTGGAAGAAATTGTCGTTCATGGACACGCTGACCCCGGCGGGGAGGTCGAACACCTCGAGCCAGAGCGCATGCACCTTCTTCTCCAATGCGGTCACGGGCAAGGCCTGCATTTCAGCCTTGTCATCGTGGATGTACTGTTGCAGGGTAGCCAGCGAGTGCTGTGCCAACAGGGCCCGGATGGCCCGCCGGTCAAGCTTGTTGTTGGCATTCGAGGGCATCTGATCCACAGGGAGGTATGCAGCGGGGACCATATAGACTGGCAGAATGCGGAGCAGCGTCTGACGAAGCTCATTGAATCTAGCGCGAAGGCGATCAGAAGGAGGCAGGGGCTGCAGCGCATCAGTGGCAGCAGTAGCAGTAGCAGCAGCAGTTGTTGTTGCAGCAGCGTTGTTCTCATCGTTGCGCGTCTCGTCGACAAAGTCCATTACTGCTACCAGGCTGATCTGCTCGCCATCTCCGCCGTGCTGAACGCGCTCTACCGCGACGGTGCGCGCCCCGGCGAGATGTCGCTGGATTTGGTATTCTATCTCGCCCACCTCGATGCGCTGTCCGCGGATCTTGACCTGTAGATCCCGGCGGCCGAGATGGATCAGCGATCCGTCAGGGTTCTGCTTGACCAGATCACCGGTCCGGTACAGGCGTCGACCTGCGAGGCCTAGTCGAGGAATGAAGTCGGGGTCCCGAACAAAGGCCGCTCGGGTCTTCTCGTCGTCATTGAGATAGCCTCGGGCTTGATTCGGGCCCTCAATCAGAAGCTCCCCGGGGGCGCCAATCGGGCAGAGGGAGTGATGGTTGTCGGCATCCACCACCCACCACGTACAGGCGAGGGGGAAGCCAATGTTGGACGCGAGGGCGGCGTCGTGAATCGGTCGACTGCAGGAGGAATGGATCGAGCACTCGGAGGGGCCGTAGGCATTCAGCACAGTGGCATGCGGTGACCATAGGGCTACGGCTGCCGCAGTAACTGGTTCACCTACTAGGATCATTGTACGCATTGAGGGAATTCTGTTAGGAACCAGCATCGACGCCACTGTTGAGGTCAAAGTAGCGCAATTGACCCGCATGGCGCTCATGACTTCCGTGAGCCGATTGACGCGGTCATGCTCCGAGGGAATGCAGACACACCCTCCCGCCCAGAGGGTGGTGATGATATCCTGGATTGTGGCGTCAAAGGTATGCGCTGCGAACTGCAGGGTACGGGTCGTCTCATCCATCTTAAAGGCAGCGCCATGTGCCTCGATACTGGTGCTGAGCGCCTGGTGCTCGAGAATCACCCCCTTCGGGGTGCCCGTGCTACCAGAGGTGTAAATGATCCACGCCATATTGTGTGGCTGCACCGTACTTGTCCGCAGCAGTGCGGTCGTCTGTGCGAGGTCCAGCGGTGTGTGGCGAGCGATGAGTTCTTCGTCCACGATCAATAGTCGCAGGCCCAGTGACATCAGCCGTTGCTGCTGTTCACGATCCACGAGTACGGTCTCCACCGCTGCATCCTGTGCGATGGCCTGCACGCGAGGCAGAGGATGAGCCGCCCCGAGGGGAACGACCACCCCTCCGGCGTACAGAACCGCGAGTATGGCGACCGCAGCCCACTTGCTCTTGTCCATACAAACTCCCACCGTGCGCTCCGGCTTCACGCCTAGGTCGTGCTGCAGATGGGCCGCCAGGCTCGCGGCCTGTCCTGAAAGCTCCTCATAGGTCAATTCGCCGTCCCAGGCGCTGATTGCGCATGCAGTGGGCTGGCGGACCACGCGATTGTACACAAGGGCATGGACACATTGCTCAACGCAGGTGGGGACAACCTGGTTCCAGTCCAGAATCTGCTCTTCGTCTTGAGGACTGATATGTAACTTGTGCAGCGGCTGTTGGAACCGGCTGGGGTTGGCGAGCTCCTTCACAAGATGCACGAAGTGGTCGACCACCTTCTGAATATAGGCTGTGGCGACCACCTGCTCGTCATACTGGACGTCCACATTAATCTGCTGCCGTCCGAGCGTGCACTCGACCTGCAGTCCGAAGCTGCCAAAGTCCTCGAACGGTGTAGGGAGAGCCTCCAGGCCCGGAAGGGTGATAGGGCTGTTGGCACTTTCGGCGGCGGGCTGGACGACCAGAAGGTTGCGGAGCGCCAGAGCGGTGCTACTAGTGGCGTCAGGCAGCAGCTTTTTGATCTGTTGCAATCCAGTCTGCTCGTGGGGAATCATGTCTGTAGCTTGTCGCTGAATGGTCTGCAGCAGCTGAGCCACTGTCATACTTTTGTCGACTGATACGCGGACCGGCACTGTGGTTAGGGTTGGACCGGCGATGTCCTGGATCTGCCGCACAGGGGCATTGCGCCCCGACACGCTGGCGGCGAACACAATGTCATTGTGTCCACTATACCGGGCCATCACGATTGCCCACGCAGCGCGTAGGATGGTGGAGATCAGAATGCCGCCGCTTAAGGGCGCTGGACTCGCCACAGCTGTCTGAATACGCGATTGTGGTCTAGGGTGGTAGTCGTGCTGAGGCAGTGCAGGCCAGTCAGCCACCACCTCGCCCTCGAACTGTTCCCGCCAGTATTGAGCCGTCTCGACGGGATCCCGCGTGGTCAAGTACCGGATGAAGCGGGAATATGGAATGGTTGACGGGATCGAGGTCGCGTGTTCCAATCCATTGTAGATCTGTGCGAAGCGCTGCGCGATCTCGCTCATCGTCCAGCCGTCGTATATACTGTGATGTGCGGTCCATACGAAATATGTTTTGTCACGCGACTCCGTCACCAAGCCGTATCGCACCAGGGGCTGGTCCAATTTCATGCCTGCCTCACGGTCCTCGGCAATGTAAGTCGCGAGATCGGTGCCGACTCGCCAGACAATCGGGGCTTGTACCACCACTTGTAGGGCTTGCTGGTTGGGACCCATCATGAGACGCGTGCGCAGGATGGGGGTGGTCTGGGTCAATGTCTCCCAGGCCGCCTGGAACTGGTGCAGGTCGATGACAGCGGTCGAGAGGGAGTAGACCTGTCGACTGATGTAGGCGGCGGATTGACGCCCCGTAACCGCCATCAAGCCTTCCTGCAGTGGTGTGCAGGGGTATACATCTGATATCTGATCCACATCCACCTGGCAACGAGCTGCAATCTCGCTCACGGCTTCGGGCGAGGCATTAGCCCACAAGCTCAAGGGCTCAGGATCTTGTTCCTCTGCCTGCTCCGCAGTAGTAACTAAGCTGAGCTCCATCAGCCTCTGCGCCAGATCACCGAGGCGTGGATGGCGGAAGACGTCAGCGACGGTCAGATGTAATTTGATGCGTTGCCAGGTTAGGGCTGCCAAGTGCATAGCGGCCACCGAGTCGCCTCCCAACTGAAAGAAATTATCCTGCAGGCCCACGCTCTCTGCCTTGTCAATCCCTAGAGCCTCCAGCCAGAGACTCTGTAATGTACGCTCCATGTCAGTTGCAGGGGCGACTTTCTTACGCCCCTCGAGATACTGCTGCATGGATTCAGCGGACATGGCAGCCAGCTGCTCCCGCAAGGCTCGCCGATCCAGCTTCCCAGAGAGATTGCGCGGCATATGGGCGACGGGGACGTATGCGCTTGGGACCATGTGTGTTGGGAGCACTTGGAACAAGGCGCTATGGAGGTTCTGAAACGCCGCCTGCATCGCTTCTGTGGGTGGAACAGCATTGTCCGTAGCCCTCAACTGGTGTTTCTGCACCTCCTCCTCATCCCCTGCCTTCTCCTCGTCTCCGCTCAGATATCTACTCCCCGACATAAATTCAATGGCAGCCACTAACACCGGCGAGCCCTGGGCTCCGCGCTGCAGCAGCACCGTCGCCACGAAGCGGGTTTCAGCCAGAGACCGAACGATCTGCTGTTCGATCTCGCCGATCTCGACTCTCTGACCGCGGATCTTGACTTGCGTGTCACGGCGCGCCACATACACCCATGACCCGTCATCCTTCTGACGGACGATATCCCCACTACGGTAGACACGTCGCCCTGGGGCTAGGCCGAATCGCGCCATAAAGCCTGGATCAACAAGGAACTGGGACTGGGTCTTGTCAGCATTGTTGAGGTACCCGCGCGCCAACTGCGGCCCCTCGATCAGCAGCTCGCCCGGAGCGCCGATGGGACACAAGCGATCGTGGTCCTGGGGATCAGCCACCCACAGGCGAGTGCCGATGGACGTGCCGATGTTATGGATCTCGTCGACGTTCTGGACCGGACCGGCTGCCGAGGAGAAGATGGAGCACTCCGAGGGACCGTAGCAGTTGAAGAGGTCGACCTTGGTCCGCCAGCGATTGGTCACCTCGATGGTTGCTGGCTCGCCGCCCAGAACGAGCGTGCGCAGACTGGGAGCCTCCTCGGGCGTGAAGAGTCCGGCCACGGTGTAGGTGGTGGCCAGAGCGTTGACATGGGTCTGGCGCATGAACGCCGTCAGCTGGCGCATGTCCAGCCGGTCCTCTTCCGACGGCACACAGCTCAGCCCGCCCCAGGCCCAGGTGGTGAAGTAATCCTCGATTGTGCCGTCGAAGGTATGTGCCGCGTACTGCAGCTTGCGCGTGTGGGGCCCAAACCCATACCGCGTGCCGTGGGCCCGGATGCTCGTACAGAGGGTCCCATGCTCGAGCACGGCGCCTTTAGGGGTTCCCGTTGTCCCGGATGTGTAGATGACCCAGGCAGCATGATCAGGGGTGACGCTGACAGGAGGGATGGGGGGTACGAATGCAACCTCATTGTTTGGGGTGAGAGTGGTAGACAGACTCTCGAAAAGCTGCGAATCGACCACAAGGAGGGAACAATCGACTTGGCCGTTTAAGCGGTCGTGCTCCGGGCCGTCCACCAAGGTCACGCTCACTGCAGCGTCGTGGAGAATCGTCTCGATTCGCTGGATGGGATGGCTGACGCTCAAGGGCACCACGACCCCCCCAGCCTGAAGGGTGGCCAACAGCGCTACCGCCGCCCATTTGGACTTGGCCATCGAAACACCCACCATCTGCTCTGGTCCAACCCCGAGTGCAACTAAACGGTGGGCTAAGAGACTAGCGAGATGTGTCAGTTCACGGTAGCTGAGCTGTCCATCCCAAGCCCAAACCGCTAGCGCTGTAGGGCGAGCCTGTGCCTGCTCTTCCACCAGCTCGTGGATACATTTCTCGACGCGCTCCGGGACGGTGGCATTCCAGACCGCAATCTGTGCGTGATCAGCACGGCTGAGTAGATCTAGCTCTCGCAGCGACGAGCGTTGGAGACTGGAATCACACAACACCGCCACGATGTGTGTGAACTGGTCCAGCACACGGGTCATATACGCCGGTCGAACAACCTTGTCGTCGAACCGCGCCTGCACCCCAATCGTTGTCCCCAGCGTACACTCGACATTCAGCCCATAACTATCGAAATCCTCTACGGCGAGGGGCAGGGCCTCAATACCGGGGAAGTCGAGCGTGGTGTCACTCTCCGCAGCAGGTTGAATAACCAGCAGGTTGCGCAGCTGCAACGCCGGATGGCCGCGGATGCCCTGGAGTCCGGTGTGCTCGTACGCTATCATCTGGATTGCTTGCTCCTGCACCCCTTGAAGGAAGTCTGCCACCGTCGGGGTCTGATCAAGGCCGGTCTGGATACGCAGGGGCACGGTGGTGATCGTCGGCGCGATGATCTCGCTCACGCCGGGCACCGGGGCGTTACGGCCGGAGACGTTCGCAGCAAATACTACGTCTGGCTGGCCGGAGAACTGCGCCATGACTAGACCCCACGCGGCGCGCAGCACATTCGCCATGGCGATGCTACCTGGTCCAGCATTGGGGCCCATTGTGACCTCCTTGCGGATTGAGGTCCGGGCTCGGGGCTCGTAGCCCGCGTGCGGCAGAGGCGGCCAGTCGGCCACCACCTCCTCCCCGGCGAGCTGCTTGTTCCAATACTGCTGGCTCTCGGCGGCATTGATCTGCGTGAGATAGCGAATGAACCGTGTGAACGGGATGGAGCGCGGGATGTAGTCCTCGGCGTTGTAGATGTGAATCAGCTCCTGGCACAGGAGACGCACGGTAAAGCCATCGTAGATACTGTGATGGGCCGTCCAGACAAACACCGGGTCACCGGACGGTGGATTAACAAGACCATACCGCACCAGAGGCGCTCCGTGCTGGATACCAACCGCCTCGTCCTGCTGAAGATACTCATCCAGGCTAGAGTGCTTGTGCCAGACGATCGTATCGCGGACCACGACCTGCCAGGCGCCCTCGCCGTCGATGATTGCGCGGGTTCGTAGAATAGGGGTATGTGCAGCCAGCGTCTGCCAGGCTGCCTGGAAACGAGGAAGATCGATCTCGGCAGACAGCGCGTACATTTGCCGGCTGACATACGCCGACGACTGACGGGCAGTGCTGGCCAGAAGGCCCTCTTGCAAGGCTGTACATGGATAGACGTCTTCGATCTGGTTCACGGCCACGTCACATTGCTCGGCGATAAGGGCTAGGCGCCCCGCGCGCGTCTCAGGATTGGCATTGACAGCCTTTTCCCAGAGGGTGAATGGCGCCGGGTCTGGCACCTCTACTGTACCACTTGTCTCCTCTTTCTCACTGAGTCGCTCCTCGATCCCGCGCGCGAGGTCCGACAGCCGCGGGTGCTGGAAGACGTCCGCAACGACCAACCTCCACGCCTTGTGCGTCCGGGTGGCCGTGGCCACCATTCGCATGGCCGTGACCGAATCACCTCCCAGCTGGAAGAAGTTATCCTGGGCACCGACCTTGGCAATGGGCATCCGGAGCGCCTGCGCCCATAGTTGCTGCACGGCAGTCTCCATGAGGGTCGAGGGCGCTACCTTACGGAGCTTTGTCCCATCCCCCAACTCGCTGTCCTCTGCGGTGTATTGCCCCAGACCGACGGACGAGACTCCGTTGAGGAAGACCTGCACAGCCCGACGATCCAGCTTCCCCGAAAGGTTAAGCGGGATCGCCGTGACCGGCACATACATCGCAGGCACCATATATGTCGGGAGGACATCTAGCAGCCCCTGGCGCAGGGCCTTGAAAGCGGACCGCAGGACTGGCGTGGGAGGCAGAGTCGCCAAGACTGCATCCTTGGTCTGCTCGCCTACCTTGCGGAACTCGATGACGGCCACCAAGGTCATCTTGGCGTCGTGCTCGAGCAGATGCACCACGGCGGTCTCCGCGTCGGCCAATTGCTGCATGATCTGGTGTTCGATCTCGCCGATTTCCACGCGTTGGCCCCGGATCTTGACTTGCGTGTCCCGTCGTCCGAGGTAGGTGAAGGATCCATCCACGTGCTGGCAGACAAGATCCCCGGTGCGATAGATGCGATAGCCCGAAGGCGAGGACAGAAAGGCCGGCGGGGCCAAAAAGGCTGCAGCCGTCTTATCGGGGTTGTTCAGATACTCCCGGGCCATCAGCGGGCCCTCGATCAGCAGTTCTCCCGGCGCACCGATGGGACACAGCTGGTGATGGCTGTGCGGATGGACCACCCAGTGGCGCGTGGCCATGGGGGTGCCGATCGTGAGTGCCTCCTCGGGGTGTGACAGCGGTCCATTCGCGGTGCAGACTGACCCTTCAGACGGGCCGTAGGTATTGTAGATCGCGACCCCGGGCTGAGTCCAGAGAGCGATGACTTCGGGTGTTAGGGCTTCGCCGGTCAAGGCCAGTGTCCGTAGCGACGGGGCATCAGCGGGAGACAGCAATCGGGCCACTGTAGGCGTGAGACTGGCGAAATTGACCTGCATGCTGCGAATAGTGGCGGCGAGGGCATTGAGCCGGTCACTCTCGGACGGAATACACACGCAGCCTCCGTAGATGAGTGTGGCCGAGACATCCGAGATACTGACGTCGAAGGTGAAAGGGGAGAACTGCAGAGCGCGGGTCTCGCTGGTGATCTTCATCTTTCGGGCCTGTGTCTGCATGCTTGTACACAGCCCGCCGTGCTCCAAGACCACGCCTTTCGGTGTCCCTGTACTGCCTGAGGTGTAGATGATCCAGGCGGCGTTATCAGGCGACACGCTGGTGGTGGGGGCGCTGGTCTGCGACACCAGGGTCGTGCGAAGACCGGCGTCGACCACGACCAGGCCGACAGAGGGAGCTAAGGGGCTTAGTCGCGCACGCTGCTCGGCGTCCACCAGGATCACGTCGGCCGCGGTGTCGTTGACTATCACCTCGATGCGCGAGAGAGGATGCGTCACCCCGAGAGGCACAATCACACCCCCCGCGAATAATATGCCAAACATTGCCACGATTGCCCACTTCGACTTCTTCATGCACAGGCCGACCTTCGTCTCGGGGCCGACACCAATCTCGACCAGGAAGTGCGCAAGGTGGATCGCCTCGTCAAACAATTCTTGATACGACAGGTCCCCATCCCACGCACACACGGCAGGGGTTTCAGGATGAGACACCACCTGCTTGCGGACTAGCTCGTGGATGGTCTCATCGACACGCGAGATGTCGACTTGTGCATTATGCTCCAAGATCAGCTCCTGGTCCGCGGGACTGATGAGATCTAGATCGCCCAGGCGGCGCGACTTGACACATGCAGGGTTGTATAACTGCTGGACAAGGTGGATGAGATGCGCGAGGATGCGGTCTACCTGGTGTGTGGGCACGATGTGTTCATCGTACCGGATGGCGACGCGTAGGTCGGTGGGACTCAAAGTGCAGTCGACAGTTAGGGCATGGCTGTCGAACTCGGTGCCCGCCTCGCTGGTCGTCAGTGGCCGGACGCCGGGGAATTGGTGCAGTGCATCGGCCTCATCGGCAGTCTGCACCACCAGTACATTTCGCAGATCGAGTGCAGGGGCGGACTCTGGCGGGATGAGGGTCTTGATTCTCTGGAGCCCCGTGTGCTCGTAGTCGATCATTTGTGCGGCCTGCTGTTGCACCGCGTCCAGAAACGAGGTCACGTCTTGCGTCCAGTCAACGTGCACGCGCACGGGGACGGTGGTAATCGTGGGCGCCACAATGCTCTCAATCCCCTGCACCGGTGCGTTCCGACCTGATACTGTGGCGGCGAAGACGACATCGTCGTGGCCCGAGTACTGGGCCATCAGCAGCGCCCAGGCAGCCCGCACCACGTTGGATGCCGTCACCGTGTCGCCGCCGGCCCCGTGTGCAGGGAGTGAGACCTGGCGTGTCCGTTCCAACCCTGGACGGGGTCGATAGTCGACATGAGGGAGAGGAGGCCAATTGCTCATCACGTCCCCTTGGAGCTGATCCGTCCAGTACGCGGCGTGGTCGTTTGCCCTACTAACATCATCAATCTGCTCCTTGGCCTCCTGGTCGCGGAGGAACCGGAGAAACCGAGTGAACGGCACCGAGGAGGGCACTTCGCCCGACTCAAATATAGTTGCAAGATGACGATACAGCAGAAGGGTGCTCCACCCATCATACAAGCTGTGGTGGGCTGTCCACACAAAGAACCGCTGGCCAGACTCCTGGTCCTGAACCAACCCGTATCGCGCCAGCGGTGTTCCCAGTCCCATTTCCTGCTGCTGATCGGCGCGCAGATACTCCTCCAGATTGCTACCGTGGTGCCAGACTATCTCATCATCGAGGACGACCTGGTGCAGGGCCGTGGCAGAATCACTGCCAACAACAATGCGCGTGCGGAGAATGGGCGTCACAGCCACCAGGGTCCGCCAGGCGTCCTGGAAGCGATCGAGATCCAGACCCGGGTCCAGCGTAAAGGTCTGGCGGTTGACATAGGCCGCGGGCTGTCGACCCGTAATCGCCATAAGGCCTTGTTGCAAGGGCGTGCACGGATAGACGTCCTGGATCTTCCCCACGGCCGTCCCGCATTGCTTCGCGATCTCCTGCAACCGATCTTGCACCTGCGTCTCATCGGGGCTATCGTCACCGAACCACAAAGAGAATCGCTCAGGATCCGCATCCTCTCTGGTCTCTGGCCTCTGGGTCTGCACTCGGCTGCTCAAGCGTTCTGCCAGATCCACCAATCGAGGCTGCTGGAAGAGATCCGCCACGGTGACTTGGAGTGCACGGCCTGCTGCGCTCGCCACCATGCGCATCGCGACCACCGAGTCGCCGCCAATCTGGAAGAAATTGTCGTGGATATTGATTTGAGAAACAGATACGCGCAAGGCACTGGCCCAGAGCTCCTGCAGCTGGCGTTGCAGCGGGGTGATAGGCTCGTCACCAACTTCCTTCCTCGTCGACAGATAGGGCTGGCGGTCCGCCGGGGAGATGGCTGTCACTAGATCTCTGATGGCGCGGCGGTCCAACTTCCCTGAGGCGTTTAACGGCATCTCGATAATGGGCAGGAACACCGCCGGCACCATGTAGGTAGGCAGCAGCTGGAACAGCGTGCCGCGCAGCTGTCGCAGGGCCGTGTTGAGGGCCGGCGTGGGCTGCAGTAACCCATGCGCCAGGACGGTTCCCTCACGATAGGCCACGCCTTCCTGGAAATCCACCACCGCGGTCAGACTGACCTGCTCAGCGCCTGGGTCCTGCACTAGCTCTACTGCTACGGATCGTGCACCCGCCAGCTGCTGGGTGATCTGATACTCAATCTCGCCCACCTCGACCCGCTGGCCGCGGATCTTGATCTGCGTGTCCCGCCGGCCGAGATGGGTGATTGACCCATCCTCGTTCTGACGCACCAGGTCCCCCGTCCGATACATACGTCGCCGTCGGTGAGATGGGTGGGCTGCTGGATTGTCGTGGAGCGCGAGCTCCTGGAGGAAGGCCGGCTCGACGACGAACGCCGCTCGAGTCTTGACCTCATCGTTCAGATACTCCCGCGCCAGCAATGACCCTTCGATCAGCAGCTCGCCGGGCGCCCCGATGGGGCACAATTGATGATAGTCGGCCACGTCGACGACCCACAGCCGCGTGCCCATGCCGGTGCCGATGATGGCGGCCTGCTTGGGATCGGTCAAGGGCGCACTGCACGTTGAGTGGATCGAGCATTCCGATGGGCCGTACGCGTTCAGAACGGTGACATAGGGCAGCCACTGTGCAACCACGTCTGGCCTGACCGGTTCGCCAACCAGGGCCAGTTGCTGCATTGATGGTACATCCCGGGGATGGATCAAGCGGGCCACCGTCGAGGTCAGGGTTGCGAACGTCACCTCCATCGTGTGCATCGCCTGTGTCAGGTTGCTCATACGATCTGCCTCGCTGGGTACACAGACCACGCCGCCCCAGACGAGGGTGGTGAAGTAATCTTGGATACAGGCATCGAAGGTATGGGCGGCGAACTGGAGCATTCGCGTGTGCGACCCCATACCAAACCGCGACCCGTGGGCCTGGATGCTGCTGCAAAGAGCGCGATGTTGCAAGACCACTCCCTTGGGCTTCCCTGTACTGCCCGAGGTATAGATGACCCAGGCCGCGTTCTCTGGGTTGACCGTCGCATGGATTTCCTCCCGTACTGGCAGGGTGCGTAGCAGAGTAGCATCAACTACCACGAGCTGTACATTCTCGGAGAGATCAGAACTAGCGAGTCGATCTCGTTGCTCCGCATCGACTAGGATGATCTGCGCCTTGGTGTCCTCCAGGATACCAGCTAAACGAGCCGGGGGATGGGCCACACCCAGCGGAACAACTACTCCGCCAGCTTGAAGCACCGCGAGCATGGCTACGCCCGCCCATCTAGACTTATCCATGCACAACCCGACCATAGTCTCTGCGCCAACTTGCAAAGTCTGGAGATACCAGGCGAGCTGGTTCGCTTGGGTTGCCAGTTCCTGGTAAGTTACATTGCCGTCCCAGGCACAGATGGCGGTGGCATCGGGGTGTTGGGCGACTTTCTCTGCCACGAGGTGATGGATGCACCGCTCAATGCGCGGAGGTGCCGTGCGATTCCACTGCAGGATGGCGGCTCTATCCTCGGGGCTAACGAGAGAGATATCGCCGAGTCGCTCGCGGCCGGAGCGGGTGCTGTAGAGCTGCTGCACCACATGTTCCAAGCTGCGCACGAGTCGCCGGACGTGAGGACTTGGAATAACATTCTCATCGTAGCGTGTTTCGACGGTGATGATGTCGTCCCCAAGCGAGCACTGCACGGTCAAGCCGTAGATGTCAAACCCCTGTAAATTCACAGGCAGCGCCTCCAGACCGGGCAAGTTTGTTCCCTCGTCGCCCCAGTCAGCCTGGATGGCCAGCAGATTGCGCACCTCGAGCACAGGACGGAGCTCGGGCACCAGCTTCCCAATTCCGTGCAAGCCGGCGTGCTCGAACTCGATCATTTCCGTCGCCTGCTGTTGCACCGTGCGCAGGAAGTCGCGCACTGACTGGTCCGGGTCGACATCGACACGCACCGGCACGGTGGTGATCGTTGGCGCTGCCAGTTCGGCCACCTGCCACACTGGAAGATTGCGGCCGGCGAGCGTCATCCCGAAGACCACGCGGTGGCCTTGGCCCGCCTGTGTGGCCATAACCATCGCCCATGCGGCCCGGATGATGGTGGGCAGTAGCGAGGCGGGGTGATGGTGGACCGTCGAGCGCGGCAGGCGCATCGTGTAGACGTCGCGGTGCATGGGCCTGGGCTGATAGTCTGCCCGAGGCAAGGGGGGCCAATTGACAACCAGGTCCCCCTGCAGCTTCGTCGACCAGTATTGGGCGTCGGAGGCAGAATCTCGGCGCAGCAGATGCCGGATGAACCGGGTGTAGGGGACCGTGGGAGGGATGCGGTCATGAAGGTAGATATCGACCAGATGTCGGTACAGCAGGGCGGCGCTCCAGCCGTCGTAGACGCTGTGATGCGCCGTCCAGACCAGGAAGCGCTCGGTGGGATGCTGAACCAGCGCAAAGCGCACCAGGGACTGACCGAGTTGGATGCCCTGCGCCTCATCTGCAGCCACGTACTGATCGAGATCGGTGCTATGGTGCCAGACTAGGGGGCTTCGGACCACCACCTGCAACGATCCGCCCTGACTGTCCTCCTCCAGGTCCACCACGATACGCGTGCGCAGGATGGGGGTTACGGCAGCCAACGTGTGCCAGGCTGCCTGGAGGCGATCCACGTCGATCGAGCTTCCCAGTCGATACACCTGTCGACTCACGTAGGCCGTGGGTTGGTGGGCAGTGACTGCGATAAGACCCTCCTGGATCGAGGTACAGGGGTAGATGTCCTCAATCTCCTCCACCGTGACACCACACTGTTGAGCAATGCGTGCGAGCCGTTGTTGAAGAGTGCGGCTTGGGGATTGCGCGTCTCCAGGCACTTGCCACAGGGCAAAGGGTTCAGGATCGGCCTCTTCGGTCTGCTTCTCCATGTTCGCCATGGCCCGTCCTTTCACACTGCGAGCGAGATCCGACAAAATCGGATGTTGGAAGATCTCCGCGACAGTCAGGTGGTGTTGACGCGCGTCGGGGATTGCCACCATGCGCATCGCGGCGACAGAATCACCGCCAATCTGGAAGAAGTCATCCTCGCGGCCGATGGTGTCTGGTGCGATGGCCAGCGTCTTGACCCACCAGTCACGCACCCGTTGCTCCATCTCCGTCGAGGGAACCGCTTTGGGCCCTGCATTTGGCATGTATTGTTGCAGGTCCGAGGTCGAGAGGCTGTTCAGGTATGTGCGTAGAGCCTGCCGGTCGAGCTTCCCCGACGCATTGGTGGGCATCGCCTCCACCGGGATGTACAGCGTGGGCACCATGTACGTTGGGAGGGACTGGAGGAGCTTCTTCCGCAGGTCTTCTGCAATGGAGCGCAGCTTGTCGCTCCCGTATGAGGTGTTGGCAGCGAAATCCATTGCCGCCACCAAGTAGATCTGAGTGCCACGTTCCACCAGCTCCACCGCAACGGTGTTCAAGCCCGGAAGATGCTGCGCAATGTTGTACTCGATATCGCCCACATCCACGCGTTGACCGCGAATCTTGACCTGCTGGCTGTTGCAGCGGCCGAGATAGAGCAGCGATCCATCCTGATTTTGACTTACCAGATCACCGGTCCGGTACATACGACGTCCAGTTTTCGGGAGACCCAGCTGTGTTATAAACTGCGGGTCGACGACGAAGCTGGCCGTGGTCTTCGCCTCGTCGTGGAGATAGCCACGGGCCAGCAGGGGCCCTTCGATCAGCAGCTCGCCCGGGGCGCCGATGGGACACAGAGTCTGGTGATCGGTCGCCTGCACCACCCAAAAGTTGGACGCCATGGGCCGGCCAATGTTTCGAGCCTGGTCGATGTGGAACAAGCGTTGGCTGTTCGAAACCACGATGGAGCATTCCGACGGGCCATAGGAGTTGAACACGCTCGCTCGTCGGGCCCAGGTCGACAGGATCGCGGGCTTTAACGGCTCTCCACTTAGGGCTAACGTGGTCAGTGAGGGCACCGTCGCCGGGGAGAGGGTGGCGGCCACCGTGGATGTCAGCTCCACGTACGTGACCTCCATACGCGCCGCTGTCGTGGCCAATGCGTTCATGCGCTCCTCCTCGGACGGCACACAGACACATCCCCCGGCCTGCAGGGTGCTGAAGATGTCGCACAGGCTGACGTCAAAGGTGTAGGCCGCGAATTGCAGTGTCCGTGTCGATTGATCAATGCCCACAGCAGCTGCATGGGCTATGAGGCTAGTACATAACGACCGGTGCTCTAGCACCACACCCTTTGGGGTACCTGTACTCCCTGACGTATATACCACCCATGCTGTATTCTGTGGCGTAACGCCGGTGTGTGGCGGTTCTGTATTGGGGCTCAGGCTCGCTATCAGCACGGCATCAATAACAAGCGTGTTCAAGCCGTCGTTATCCAGCCGGTCTTGCTGGCTCTGGTCGATGAGAATCACGCGCGGGCCAGCGTCCTGAACAATATTCCGCAAGCGAGGCAGTGGGCTACGCACCGATAAGGGCAGGACTGCAGCGCCGGCCTGGAGAATGGCCAACATGGCCAAGATCGCCCACTTGGACTTGTTCATACACAGTCCTACCGGCTGCTCGGGGCCGACACCCATGCCGACCAGGTACTGGGCTAGGGCGATACTCTGGCTTGCTAAATTGGCATACTGCCACTGGCCATCCCATGCGTCGACCGCGAGGGCCGTCGGCCGCAACTGCACCTGTTCCGCGACCAGGTCGTGAATACACCGGTCTACCGATCCGGGCACGGTAGTGTTCCACTCTAGCAGCTGCTGCTGGTCGGATGAAGAGATTCTCACGGCGTCCTGCAAGAGCCGATCCCGAGCCGACGGACGGCTGAGCTCCTTCACCAAGAAGGAGAACTGGTCCATAACTTTGGCCAGGTCCGCGGGGGCGATCACCTCGTCATCGTACATGACCTCCACCGCTACGGCCTGGCGCCCCAGAGTGCACTCCACGTTGACGGCGTAGCTGTCAAAGTCCTCCAGGGGCAGCGACACCGGGCTCAGTCCCGGGAAGGCCTGGTAGACGTCGCGTTCGGAGGCGGGCTGAATGACCAACAAGTTCTGGAGGTCCAAGGCCCCGCTCAATTCTGGTAGCATGGTCTTTATCTTCTGCAGTCCGGTATGCTCATACTCGATCATCTCCGTCGCGTGACGCTGCACGGCCTGCAGAAATCCCCCTACAGTCTGCGTGCGATCAATGCGGATGCGCACGGGGACGGTGGTGATCAGGGGGGCGGCGATCTCGGCGACCTGCGAGACAGGGGCATTTCGCCCCGACAGGGTGGCCGCGAAGATGATATCGTTCTGGCCAGTATACTGGGCCAGAACGAGCGCCCAGGCGGCGCGTAGGATATGCGACATCATGACCACGCCCTGTTCGGCCCCGTCGCGCATCGAGATCTCACCCCTGAATTGACTCCGGGGACTGGGCTGGTAGTTGGGGGTGGGCAGCTCCGGCCAGTGCGCCATCGGATTCTCCCCCTGCAGTTGGCCGTGCCAATAGTTGGCGGCGAGGACCGGATCTTTACCTTCTAAGTAGCGCACGAAGCGCGTGTAAGGGATTGAGAGGGGCAGCTGGTTGTGGAAGTAGATGGCGGCGAGACGGCGGTAGAGGAGGGTTGCGCTCCATCCATCGTAGACACTGTGGTGCGCGGTCCACACAAAGATCGCCTCCTCGCCCTTCGTGTCGTCCGATCTGGGGATAAGACCCCACCGGGCCAGGGGCTGCCCAATCTGCATTCCTTCTTTGCGATCCTCCGCCAGATAGCTTTTCAAGGTGGTGCCATGTCGCCATGGGACGTGTTGGCGACTCACCACCTGCAACGACCGGCCGCTCGGGCCCATACAGATGCGGGTGCGCAGAACGGCGGTTCTGGCGATCAAGGTCTCCCAGGCCGCTTGGAACCGCTCGAGGTCGATGGTGGATGCCAGGGTAAATGCGCGGCGGTCGACGTAGGCCGCGGGTTTACGAGCCGTGATGGCCACCAGACCTTCCTGCAATGGGGTGCAGGAATACACATCTTCGATCATATCAACTTCGATCCCGCATTGCGTCGCAATCCGCCCCAGAAGTAGGGGTCGCTCGTCGGGACTTGCCTGGCTGTAGTCCTGCCACAGGCTGAAGGGTTCGGATTCGGCTTCCTCGAGTCGAGAGGCCCTCGTGGGCATCGGAGCCCTGGGTTGTGCATTTTCTCGCGACGGTCGTACTTTCACGGTCGAGAAGAGCTCAGTAATGCTGATGGCATTGATTATTGCGCCCGTCTGGACCTCCATTCCTCGCTCCTCGCAGCGCGCAATCAGGTTGATGGCGGCTATGGAGTCCCCGCCCAGTCCGATGAATGATTGCGACGCATCTAGCTTGTCGAGCTCGATGCTGAGTACCTCGGCGCAGATGCTTTGGAACTCCTCTTCGTGGGTTGTTGCTCTTGGGACGTCGACGAGGACTCTCGTCTCCGTCTCATTCTCCGGGGATTGGAGAGCACGGTTTTCTGGGGTCATGATGTTTGTGGGTGAGTGAGGAAATTACTTACTATTACTTACTGGGTGTCGAAGAACGGCTTGAGGATCGAGGAGAGGAGGAAGCATACGGAGAGACCCCTCTGATGCTGGTGCTGATGACTCGTGCGTGCGCTCGATTTGTCAGATGTGCTGCCCGTGAGAAAACGGAGTCGACGACAAGAGAGGTGAACTTTCCGCGACTGAACGTGGAAAGATTGTTGACACCATTATCCATGAGCAGGGCATTGATCTACCTATATTACCCAGAGTGTACCATCGCTCAGAGGATCTGCGCTCGCTGCGAAACAGCCTTATGGTGGAGCTGGACCCGAACGCTTGAAGCCTCGACTTAGGGCCCATCTGGTCACGCCGCCACATGGTGGAAGGCAACATGGTTCCCCACTTTTCATGTCTTCTTGTCTGTTTTGCTGCTATTTGGCTCTCCGTCCGACCCCTCTGCATTCACAGCCTATTTCAGCCTCACTATCTGGTTCTCTTCACTTGGCTGTGGCTGGAATGAGGGTGGATGGTTGCCTTAGTCAGCGACGGCTCTCGGATGTAGCCTGCGTTGCTCGTCGAGGGCTGAGTCATGCATCCTGCAGGCTGCACGTTATCAGGTCGCAATAAGCGGCGTAAAAGAAATCAGAGCAGTGACGAATGCTGTCCTCTTAGGTTTGGGCCTTTTTCATTCTTTGATTCTTATCTTTCGTCTTTCATCTCTCACTTTTCCTTGCCTCTCCTGTCCATGAGTCGCTCGGAATGGCCTTTGGCGGGCGCGATAACTACCACCCGCCACTACAGGCCTCGTAGAACCAGACCATTTAGGACCTGGTAAATAATTGTGAGCACCGAATCTGGTATATACCATCGTGGTAGTGTCTATGTCGTAGAAGACAGACCCCTTGTTTTGTTTCGGATGGTTTACATGAACCCGGAGCTGTAGTCAAGTTCAAAATATATATCCAAGTCGTAGCGTGGATTCACCATTGTCTGCTCACAGGAAACAAAGGAATATACCACAGTAGCTTAACATAAAAATGCCTAGAACTCTTCGTGCATGGAATTCCAGGAACAAGACCGGTGGTCCAGCCATCAGTTACTCTGGCAAGAACTACCCTGAAGTTGCCAGCCCTTTTATCGCCTCGTGCTGATAATGCTCTGCATGGGACCTCTTCCCCCCACCCTCTCTCGAACCCTTAAAGTGTTCGTCGCAAAGACGACCGGCAAAACATATTGAATTCTCGCAACAATCAATTGACACAGGCTTCGTGTGCATGCTCCTACAGTATGCTGCCTGAACTACTCCTCGCGGGAGAACCGAGACTGTTGCTGCACGCAGCCATCGGCATCACCGTCGTCCTCCTTTTCCACCAACTGGTGCTGGCAGACTCACGCGAGCATCGTCAGTTCTGGAAGAAGCAGCCATGGGTAGGCGTTCGCGTCGAGTGGTTTTCCAGATTCCGGGCCTCGCTGCGCACCATCCGCGGCATTCGGCAGATGCTGGAGGAAGGTTATGAGAAGGTTGGTCGGTTCCCCTCGCTCGACCTCTCTTTCACACCTTCCATCCCATCCCACTGACGTGCACAGTACTCCAAACAGGGCCGGGCGTTCGTGCTGCCCACCATTGCGGAAGCACCCTGGGTCGTCCTGCCACCGAGCAGCATGCGCGAGCTGCTGGCCAAATCGGACCGAGAGCTGGACCATGAGATCATCCATGCCGATCAACTGCAGCACTACTACACCCAGGGCCCGCTAGGATGGCACGCGGTACAGGTGCCCCTCCAGTTTGACCTGGTGCGCCGGCAGCTGACGCGCCAGCTGCCGCTGGTGCTGCCCATCATGGCAGATGAGGTCGACCGCAGCTTCCGGCATTACTGGGGCACGCGGCACACGGCATCCACTGAGGTCAAGGTGAAGGTATTCGAGACATGCACGCAGATCGTCACCCGCGTGGCCAATCGCGTCTTCGCCGGCCCGGACATCTGCCGCAACGAGGCCTTCCTGCACCACTCGCGCCAGTATTCTGAGGGCGTTGGGCGCGCAGGAATCATCATCCGCCTATTGCCGCGGTGGCTGCGTCCGCTCCTCGCCCCACTCATCACGTATTGCAATCGCAAGAATCTCCAGATCTGCGTGGACATATGTATGCCGGTGGTGCAGGATCGGCTGCAGAAGACCCTCGCGCAGGATCCCGCCTGGAAGGCACCGGTTCGTGGCTCTCCTCCAATGTCTCCAGTCTCAAGGAGTCTCTATTGGCTTTTGGTTCTAAGCACAGTCCTCGGAAATTGACCGCTTCTACAGGTTGACGGACTCCAATGGCTCCTCGATGAGTGCGTGAAACGCAACGACCCGCGCGAGATCGACCCGCGGCTGATCACGCAGCGCCTGCTGATGCTGAATTTCGTGGCCATCGAAACCATGGCCATGTCCATCACCCACACGGTGATCGACCTGTACTCTGCCCCGGATTGCGCGACCTTCGTGGCGCAGCTCCGCGAGGAATGCGAGCGCGTCTGGCGCGAAGAGAACGCATTGCCCCAGCCACAGCCTCAGCAACACCCCCAGCCAGACCAATGGACCAAAGCCGGCCTGGACCGACTGATGCGAGTGGACTCGACGATCCGGGAATCGATGCGCGTCTCAGACCTCTCGTATATCGCGGTGCCGCGCATGGTGGCGCCAGCCGCGGGACTGGACTTTGACCAGGGGCTGCTGCATCTCCCGCAGGGCGTGCGCGTGTGTGTGCTGGCGCATGCCATCCACCGCGACCCGCTCAACTACGCCGATCCATTGACCTTCCATCCCTTTCGATTTAGTGATTCGGAGGAGAACCGCAAGAAAGCGCTGTCGATCGCGACGACGACCGATGCTTTCTTGGTGTTTGGGCACGGGCGGCATGCCTGCCCGGGACGGTTCTTCGCGGCCCAGACGATGAAGCTCATGCTGGCGTATCTGGTGCGGCACTACGAGGTGGAGCCGATCGATCAGGGGCCGGAGAAGGAGGTGCAGGTTGGCACGGCGAGGCCGAGTGCACAGCTCTGTCTGCGTGTGCGTCGGCGGGACTGATGGCTGATGGCTGAGATGCGGAGTGGAGTGTGGGAGGTGTTGGGAGAGGATCCTACGATAGAGGACATAGAGTTACAGACGCGGTGGTGTCTTGAGACATCATTAAATCCATCATTTTCAAACCTTCCTAGCACAGTCCACCAAACTAAAGAGAAGGGACTATACACCCGAGCGCTGTATCATCTCTATCTGACTGGAGCGACTCTCGACCTGATGCAACTTCAGCTGCTGCTGCGCGGAGGCATTCCAGCGCTCACGCGAAAAGACCAGTCCGGGATGAAACGCCGTCATGGCGCCGCAGGCCAGGATCATCATCACACCTTCGAGGATCATGAACGCTACCTGGTCGTTTGCGAGGGCGCTCCCGAATCCCCCCTTCAGTTCGGCAACGCGGAAACACGAGCGAATGAAGATAGTTGTGGTTGCGACGACCAGACCTGCAAGAAGCTTAGTTGGTGGCTAGGTGTATGGGAGAGGAGCAAGGCAAGCAAACGAACCGATCAGAAACCCCCTCCATTTCCAGCCAGCGTGCCAGTCCACGGGCAGCAGCGAGGCGGACCCCTGGCCCTGGTGCCGGCGCAGTCGGAGAGCGAAGTCGCCTGCCAACGCCATGAAGGCTACCAACGAGACGACCTGGCACGCCAACCCGGCGATCATGATGTCGATGCCGAGGTCTCTGAGGCTGGTGTTGTTTGTGCCGGCGGTGGAGGTGATGGCGCCCCCGGCAGACTGCAGGATCAGACACACGAGATCGCAGGCGATGAAGACCTTCGAGTACGTGGCGGGCGCGAGGCGCGAGCACCGGGCGTCGTACTCGATCACCACGCGGCCGAAGCACAGGTAGATTGCGGCGCAGATGAAGGCGGGCGCTAGGGTGAGGCAGATCAGGTACTGCAGGAAGGCGTTGAAGGAAAAGGGGTCGTCGTGCAGGCTGATGCGCCCCGCATAGCCAATGATCTCCAGCAGCAGCCCCCCCATCACCGCCACCAGGTAGCTGGTGGTGCGGTGCCACACCCCCAAGAACAGATGAATCACTGCTGCCACGCAGAAGAGCCCCAGGAAGAGCGCGTTCCCGGCCAGCGAGGGGATGTAGTGGATCATGGCATAGTCGAGACTGCATGTCTGGAGGGTGCACACAAAGGTGCTGGTGTCGGTCGTGGTGTTGTTTGTCGACATGGTGTTCACTGTGGACTGTAGATCGAGCGTGGCTTAGGGCAAAGCGAGTGGCGTGAAGAGGAGAGTTCGTGAAACGAGTGAATGACGCTGAAGCGTGTAGTACAATGAAAGTGCTTCTTTGGGAGGAAAGAGAGAATGACCGACTGACTGAAGGATAGTGATGAGTAGGAAGAGAGTGGGAACCAGTTCTAACAAACAGAAGACCAGAAAAGAAGAGAAAGATGGTTATAGGTCGACCTGATGGAGAAGAGAGAGGTTCGCCAGGCTCGTCAGGGGCACCCCATGTGCAATCGTGCCCTAACTCCAACCCACCAATCCACCCACTGGCCGGATCGCTAGCCCAGGTACCCCCGTCGCGGCATTCACTCAACGACGAATCATAGTGGAATAAATATATGCTATGTAGATCGAGATTCAACTGTGCCTCTACCGTTGGAAACTCAAGACCGGATCTAAAACAGTGCCGAGGAGAGTGTGGAGGAGTGAGCGTCGGAGCGGCGGCGCGTGGCGCGCGCTACGGAGTCAGAGCGTGACACTGATTGACAGCCTAAAATCCTCTCCTCACTACTCCGGACTTAGTCTAGGCTCGTCGCGTCGTTCGGTCTAGAATGTTGAGTGGTTTGGACCTGTCAGCCTTTTCTTGGATTTGGTCGATGAGACCACCGCCCCACCTCTTCTTCTTCTCCCCCTACCCCTACCCCCCTTCTTTCTCTTCTCCACCTGTCTAGATGTTCGCTGTCATTGTGAATAACTCCCCGTTATCGTAGATAGAGTGTCTTGATGCGTGAGATACCCGACCCACTTCGCTCTGCACGTGTCACAAAAGTTTGTGATTGCAAAGACAGGCGAAGTGGCTCTGCTGCGTCCCAGGCCATACGAACAAAAGCGAGGAGACGAATTCTGTCAAGGCCAGCCAATGTTTCATGACTCGACACACCCGTTGCGAGCAAGATGAGGAAGAGACCAGCCGGATGCAGGGCCTATGAATAGCACTTACCTGCCACTCAGTAAACAATGCCGAGAAACGAGCCAGGGGTATCTGCAGCATTTGATTGGCCGGTTCGCTAATGACGTCACGGTCGCTGATGAGAAGAAAATCTCCCCAATCACAACCCCGCACGCAGCAGAACCAAGCCTTGACATGCATATCGCCGCCGGAGTCGTATATGCATCAGCAGGTTTGCAGACCCGATGGCAACCAATGGGGAAAGACTGTCCTCGCGATGAAAATAGATTTGTACATGGGACGCAGTATCATAGGCATGGGAATATATCATATCAAAGGAGCGTGTGTCCGGCTAACCCCCACCACATCCGTTCGGCAGGTCCAAAGCTCTCTCCCACACTACACGACCACACTGGCAGAGTGTAGCAGAAATTCACGATGGGGTGGAATCCGTCACACGAGTTGATTGTCTTTCTCGTCATCTGCGGATGTGTGGTGTTTGTCTTCATAGGATACGCCTTGGCTCGACTGTACGGCGGCGACAGCTTCGACGGGCCTGGGTTGCCGGGGATGACCCCGGAGCAGGCCTCATACATGCGAGAGGTCCGACTGCGGAACCGGGAGGATATGTTCCATGCTCTGCAGGGCATGGAGAAGGGCCATCGGGGGATGGGGGTAAGGGACGTCTAGAACTTTCCAAGGTATCAAGCCTCACGGTCTCATTGTGCGACACCCACCGAGCAGATCTCGCTGATGGACGCCTACCAACAGATAGAACGAGACCTTGTCTTGTCGCATCGAACACGATATCGCCGGACGATTACGAACATTACGAGCACGAATTATACCGAGGTCCTCTATTTGCTTCATATGAGATGAAACGATTACTTGAGTTACAATGACGGATTGGAATTGAAGATGTGGAGACAGAGTCGGTTCACAACGCACATTCTCGTTGGGTCTGGTTTATATTGGCGTCTATGGATATGTACGGAACAAAGTGGCATTGATCAAACGTTGCACGCAGCCAGGGATTGGTTTCAGATACCTCAAATCTACACAGATGGTTCCTCGCTCACGGCTTCCATTGTTGTTGACATGGCGAATAATAAATTGAGAGACCGAGCTAAGCAACAGATATAGAGGAGATTGACTTCACCATGCCAGCACCTCCTGATTGACTCTGTTTTCAGCCTGACGGCGTCCAAGATGCATCTCGGCCAGTGCAGAGGCTGGCACTGTCCCCGACCCAGGGTCGTTACAGAGAGACTGGAAAACAGTCTTGCCAAAAATCTTGTACGCCGCCGCCAGCCCTTGTCGCTGGATCAAGGCCAGCTCCATCTCGTCCAACACAAACGGGTACGATCGGTCACTCACGGTGACCTGTCGACGGGGCAGGTCAATCTCAATCGCCACCCCGGTCTGAGCCGCCGCGTAGAAGTCGTCGTCGGTGATGGTGAGGCCGAGGAGGCCGATGGTGGGCTGGTTGCGTCCATAGATGAAGGAGAACGATCGTGCAATCACACATTTCACCCCGAGACCTGCAACATCACATCCGTTAGAGCCAATGCCTTCTGTTTCCCTCTACTCCATCGATCTCGCAAGACGTACCTTTCAACGCTCGTGGCGCCTCTTCTCGCGACGAACCACAGCCAAACGCTTTCCCGGCGACGACGACATCCAGACCAGCGCGAACCTGGTCGCGAAACTCGGGGTGAGTCAGCTCCAAGCAATGACTCCCGAGCAGGACGTCGGTCGGACTCTCCAGAATGAATGCTGCAGGGATGATCTGGTCCATGCTCCGTTAGCCATAGCCTTTTCGTCCTCTCGCGCAAACGCGAACCTACCGCGTCAGTATCTACGAAATCCCCCAACCTCGAGACCCCGCTGCGTATGACTTGCGCTGGTGCGCTGTGCGGCTTCTCTTGTTCCAGCCCTGGGATGGACGTCGTTGTCGACGGAGTAGTAGTCTTGCGAACGGACAAGTAGGGCTCGACCACGGGGGGCATCGGGGGTGAGACGACTGGGTTTGTGCTAGCCTTGAGACGCTCGCGCAATTTCCCCCGCGGCTCGGCCTTCATGCGTCGACAGCTGGCGAGTAAGGTCTGATACCTCTCGACCGACACCTGACGAAGGAGAGGACGAGGGTCGGTCAACTGCATGCCGAAAGACGAGGCAGCGACGACGGCAGCGGAGCAAATATGGCCGGTAGAACCTGTAATGTAAGGTCAGGTCAGACATTATCAGCTTGTTTACTTCTCCTTGTCCCGAGAAACGAAGACGCACCTGGACCCATTCGGTTCTTGAAATTACGGTTCTGCGACGACAGCCAATTTTCGCCCGACCCCGCGCGGTCAGCCCCCATCCCCAGGCACAGACTGCAGCTCACGGCGGGCAGTGTAAACCCAGCCTGGGCATAGATATCCAACAGCCCCAAAGCGCGCAGGTTGCTCACGATCGGTAGACTGCCGGGGACCACCATCCGTTTCCCGCGGGCTAGCGGCAGCCCCTTCTGCAGGCCTGCTTCCAGGACCAAGGCGCCCAGAATTAGATCTTCCTCGGTGGTAGTGCACGCGCCGATGAAGCAGCCCTCGAAGCGCATGTCAAGCTTCTCCGTCACGGGCACGACGTTGTCCGGGGACGGGTAGAGGGCAATGAAGGATTCGACCTCCTCCAGATTGATTCGGAAGGTTGCAGCATAAGAAGCATCAGCGTCCGGTTGAAAGTACAGCGACTGTGTTCTGTAGCGGGCCTGGGGCCGATCCGAGATGAATTGGCTGGTGACCTCGTCCGGGACGAAGAGGCCCGTAATGGCACCGAGTTCCTATGATTTCCCTCTCTTTGCGTTAGTCACTGGACACGCACACAGAGCTAGATACCCAGAAGGCCTTACGGTGCACATGTTACAGATGGCGAACCGAGCGTCGCAGGACAGATAGCGCGCCCCCGGCCCCCCGAACTCCACAATCCGATCCGCGGCATGGGTGTTGCGCTTGAGGGTTTTCAAAATGTAGAGGATCACGTCCTTGCCCCGAATATACCACGCCGGTGCGCCCACGAACTCCACGCGGATCGACTCCGGGGTCTTGATCCAGGTCTCCCCGGTGGCCAGCGCCGCCATCACATCCGCCGCGCCGAGTCCGATAGCGAGGGAACTGACGGCGCCTGCAGAACAGGTGTGTGAGTCTGAGCCCAGGACGAGCATTCCCGGCTCGGCTCGCTCGCGCACAAACTCCGTATGCAGGATCGTAAACTAGAGACAGGAGGGTTGCCGTCAGCCACGCCACAATCCTCAGGCAGAGCAGACAGGCAGCAAACATTTGAGCCTTGGTTCTCCGTCATCTTGAACCTCGTCTTCGCATCGTGCATGCCATCAATCAACTCCCGGACCCGCGGTTGGTGGTACGTCCGGGGATCCACCGTGTGATCGCCCGCCAGCCAGAACCGGTCATTTCGCCAAACCGTCGGCTCTTCCCCGATGCTGGTCATACTGTGTTTCATGCCCTAGAGGATTGTGGGTTTGGCCGGATCAGCTGCTCTGCGAACTGCCGATCTCCACTTGACCCTGTGAGGATAGGGCTCGGGGCAGGGGAGAGGATAAAGAAGCAACCTACCACCCATGATAGCTCACTGGCAATGATCCAGTCGACCGTGACACGGATAAAGTCACCCCCTTTCAAGCCTTCGGCTGACGGCAGCGAGAAGGCGTGGTGCGCCAGGATCTTTTCCGCCAGCGTCATGGGTCGCGTGGACGAGGCTTTGACGGACAGGGGAGAGGGCAGATCTCGGGCCCTTTCGGCGGAGTTCAGCGATTCAAGCCAGGCCTCTAGGAGGCCCTGCAGCCCCTGTCGCTGTGTCTGATTGAGCGACCAGTCGACAACTGGGGAATCGGGGAATCCCAACCCCCCGCGCTCGGTCTCGGTGTGGCACAGGTCGAGGACATATCGTAGGGTCGATGCGTCTGCAGAACGGCCGCGGGCGTCGAGCTCGACGGCGAGATGGGTGAGAAAGTCATCAGGAGTGGAGATAATCAAAGTATCGGAGTCAAGAGGGATGGTCGGTGGTTGGCAAGTCAGGTACCAGAGGGTCGAGCTGGGCTGTCGTTCTTGAATGCTGCATTCCTCCAGTTGAATCCCACGGGTGTCGGCCAGAAGCTTTACCACAGCGCGCACGAAGGCCCGTCCGTCTTCGGGGAGACTTTGGTCTTGTAAGCTCAACCTAAGTCCTGGAGTAGACATTGTGCGATTGTGCGAGAGTCGAGAGGAATTTAGTAGCTTTGCGGGGCGGGGCTTGGGCTTTTCATATGCGCGGTGGAGGAGGGGTCGGCGTCGAGGAATTACCTACTTTGCTTACATTCACAAGGGATGTCGTGGAACGGATTCTCTTTGGTTGGTTCTATTCTAGTCTTCTAATAGGTTTTCGAAGAAAGTATGATTGTGATGGTGATTTTTGCACTCAACCCTATTTTGGACATGCTGCGTGTGTAGCAGGGTGGCTACGACCACTCTTGCTTCTGGTCCCGAACAAGCGGCATACATTCAATTCTGTGATGGATATATAAATAGATCTGCCGCAAGTACAGAGAGAATGGCACAGTCGACTCGCCTCACGCATGATCCTCCAAATACGCCACGACTGCGTCGCCGAACTCCGCTGTAGAGGCCGTGCCACCGACATCTCTTGTCCGGCACCCCCGTTCAATGACCTCCTTGACAGCCGTTTCGACAGCTGCAGCTGCGTCCGGCATCTCAAGCGAGTAGCGGAGCATCATGGCGACCGACAGGATCATCCCCGTCGGATTGATAATGCCTTTACCCGCAATGTCGGGGGCGGATCCTGAGCCGCATAACTGATATCAGCGAAACAGAGCTTGTCGCGTACAAGAGGAGGACCCTTACCGTGAACAGGCTCGTAGATGCCGCGCACTCCATCGCCACCATCAGGGTCAGGAATCGCACAGAGACTCGCACTAGGAAGCAGCCCCAAACTGCCGGGGATGGCGCTGGCCTCGTCGCTCACAATGTCACCAAACATGTTACTCGTCAGAACAACGCCATTCAACGTCGTCGGCCGGCACGCAAGGGTCATGGCCGCCGTATCGATGAGCATATGCCGCAGAGTCAGGTCGGGGAACTCGGTGCGGATGGTCTGCTCCACGACACCGCGCCAGAGTCGGCCACAGGCAGCCAGCAGGTTGGCCTTGTCCAGGCTCGTGATGGGCAAGGGGGGATCTGTCGCGCGGGCCAGTCGGGCAGCCAGTCGTGTGACACGCTCGATGGCGTGCCGGTCATAGTGGTCGAGGTCCGAGGCCGCGTTGAAGGTCCCATCATGCTCCTGACGATCCCCGTAGTAGATGCCGCCGCTGAGCTCGCGGACGATGAGGAGATCCGCGCCCCGGCACACGCGCTCCTTCAGACTGGACGACTCGATCAAGACGGGCGCAATGAAGTTGATTGGTCGCAGGTTGCCAAACGCGTCCATGGCTTTGCGCAGTCTCCCTAAGCCGGATTCGACGGGGATCGGACTCCCTTGCCACGCCTGTGAGGAGGGTTCTATCGCGTCAGTGTCAGGCGTCTTTCCCATGGATTTCTTTCACGACAACGATGAGACTCCTTTCACATACCGGACCACCCACAGCCCCTAGAAGAACCGCCGATGCGCTCTGTGCATCTTGCAGGGCCTCTTCGGTTACAGGGGTGCCATACGCATCAAAGGCCGCCTATTCCATCTCCGCAACGTGACTCGTTAGTGGTGACATTCTCACTCACAAATTAGCCCGTAGGGGTGGAGCAGGAGGCAAACATACTCCGCCGAGAAGATGATGTTTAAGGTTCAGTGTGACCCTCGTCTGGTATTGCCTTTGGATCTCTCCTAGAACCTGAGGTATTTCACTATCAGTCCTGTCGCCTCGCGGACAGACCACTGGTTCCGGGGGCAATGTACCTTCAGGCCTTCAGCCATCACCTCGGGACCTCCGTAGTCGCCTGGGAACACCACGATATCATGTGTTTTGACCATTGTCACGGGAGTAACTGGAACTACTGGTGAGATGTAAGAACAAATTGTCTGCGCTGCCGCTGAAGACGCAAAAGCAGTACAAAGCGATGTTTATCAAGTAGACGTGTGACGGGGAAGAATGCTCCTTAGGGCTTCTGAGACATTGTCTACGCCGGTCGACGATCGCGGCAAGGCTCATTCGCGATCGGCCGATCACAGTTTGGCAAAAAGATAAATACTTTTCCGGTCTACAAGAATGAGTAGTAGTCCAATGGGACAGTGGCTGCCAGTCCATTATACATAACTGGCCTGGATGTGCTTACCGATGAGTCAAGCAGAATGGCTGGTGGTGTAGCCTACAGCGGGAAATGCACCCCTGACTAAGCAAGATGTCTTCAAATGAAGTACTCAATCCAACACAGAAAGAAATCGGAAAGGGGTGTGAGATGAGATGATTATTACCGTTCATATGGCACCTCGTCTATTCGGGACCCCTTTGAACCTTTTATCACACGTGGTGGGGGGAAACAGCCACAATGGCTGGCGCTCGGTAAGCCCTAGCCCGGTTCTGCAGTGCCTCGCTCCCAGGCCATGTGCAAAGAAAAGGACCGCGATCCCCACCCATAGAAGAAAAGAATGTAACCAGTTTGGCAGCGACCCAGACGTCCAGCCGGTCAAAGCTAAGGCCAACGCAGCCAACGCAGAACCCCCAAATGTCGACCACTTGTGCGGGCGGCCAAAGCCTTCAGAGCAAGTATGGCGGCCGGGCTCCTCCCCACGTCCACCTCCCTGACCGACAATGGCCATCCAAGAAGTTGACCAAGTCTCCCATTTGGCTATCCACCGATCTGCGGGATGGCAATCAAGCTCTTCCCAACCCTATGGTGCGCACGAACTCCAGATTCCCCGTGTAAGGGAGAGGTTTCAGGAAGCGGACGAAAGCTAATCCGCCATGCTATGGCCATGCATGTAGACAATCCAGCAGAAATGGCAGATGTTCCGCCTGCTGGTAGCCATCGGGTTCAAGGAGATCGAGGTTTCCTTCCCCTGTGCCTCGGACACCGAGTTCAACTTCACGCGGGAGCTCGTGGAGACCCCCGGGGCGGTGCCGCCAGATGTGAGTCTCGAAGTGATGACTCCGTGCCGGAAGGAGACGCTCGAGCGCGCGGTCGAGAGCCTCAAGGGGGCCAAGAAGGCCATTCTATTCACCTACCTCGCGACCAGCGACAACTACTGCGAGACCATCCTGCAGCAGCCGGCGGAGACGGAGTGGTTGGCGCGGGTGACGGAGTGTATCGAGTACGCGCGGTCGATCACGAAAGACGACCCGGAGGCGCAGGGCACGCAGTGGACGCTGGGATTCGGTTTCGAGGACTTCGCGAATGCGCGCCCCGAGGCGGCCCTCCGTCTGGCGGCGACGATCCAGGCGGCGTGGAAACCCACCCGCCAGCAGCCCGTCATCTTAGGGCTCGCCTCCAGCGTCGAGGCCACCACCGTCAACGTCTTCGCCGACCAGGTCGAATACTTCTCGCGGCACCTCCGGGACCGCGACACAGTCTGCATCTCGATCCACACGCACAATGACCGCGGGGGCGCCGTCGCCGCCGCCGAGCTCGCATGTCTGGCGGGTGGGGATCGTGTCGAAGGGTGTCTGTTTGGCAACGGCGAGCGCGCCGGCAACCTCGATCTCGTGACGGCGGCCATGAACTACTTCACGCAGGGCATCGAGACGGGCCTGGACCTGTCGGACCTTCCGGCCATCCGGTGCGTGTACGAGGAAGTCACGCAGCTGCCCGTCCACCCGCGCACCCCGTACTCCGGCGACTACTACTTCCGAGCCTTCTCCGGGGCCCATCAGGATGCCATCCGCAAGGGATTGAACAGGCGCGCCGCCAACCCGTCGCGAAGTGCGTGGCGGGTGCCGTACTTGCCCCTCGACCCGGCCGATCTGGGCATCCCCTTCGACAGCGTGATCGGCGTGAACAGCCAGAGCGGCAAAGGGGGCGTGGCCTGGCTCATCCAGCAGGGACTCGGCTTGAGCCTGCCCGGCGAGCTGGCAGCGCATTTCAGTCGTATCGTCAAGACACAGTCCGTCGCATGGGAACGAGGTCTGGCTGCAGAGGAGGTCTGCGCGCTGTTTCTAGAATCCTACGACCACGACGCCTCCTACCGTGCACGCATCCTTGGACAACAGCAACAGGGCTTCGGCGTGCTATTCCAGCAGCCCGCCTGCCCGCACGAGCTGGAGGATAGCTCGGACGAGGCGAGTCGGATTGCAACCCTCATGTCTCAGGCTCTGCAGCTGCCCTTCCGGTGCCAGATGGCCGCCTTCCACCCCCTTCCCGACGAGCGGCAGCAGGGCTTGCTGGTCACATTCGCACACTGCGTTGTTGGAGATGGTCCCGAGAGTTCTTGGGGTGTTGGGGTGGGTGTAGGTAAAGATGAGGCCATTTATGCGACACTTCTATCCATGATCCAGGTTAGACACTCCCACCTGATCTGGTACTACTTCCGTGGGTCCGATTATGCTAATGCTCCGGTTACACAGAATCGATCTGTGCGCGTTACCGATCAGCCTTGGGCAAACCTGGATGTGAAGAGCACCGTGGAACACAGTGAAATAATCTCTAATACCGACCTTGGTCACAGTCGGTTCCGAGAAATCATCATTGGTTGAGGAGAGCTGGGGTGAAGGGGTTCTATTCCTAGAGGCAACCATATATATTTAGTATTCATGTTTCAGATTCCATTCGCGCGGTATTCTTGAATCTGATATGACCCCATATAGTGTGCTACAAGTCCCTGCTGTCAAGCTACAGCTGACATGATAATGTAGAGCCCTGCATAGAACCTGAAATGGACGTGAAAATGAACAATACTATCACAAAACACAAACTCGAAAAATTCACTATCGCGCCACTACACTTGCGCTGTACTCGTCCTAACTACCCTGCTACCGGATTCCAACAAAGCCTCAGCCATAAGTGCGAACCAGTTTCTGCTGCATATATTCCAGCGCAGTCAGATGATCATTGTACGCCGACTTGATGCCGGGCCGCACGAACGCCGGCAGGGTGTCGACCAGCACCTCACGATCCGGTTTCCCAAAGTAAGCCACCGAGTACCGAGGGGCCAGCATCGCGGTGGAGTGCACATCAGTCCCCTGAGGCAGACAGACGCGATGGTTGGCCGAGCGCAGCTGCTTGTTGGTCCAGCGCTGCAGACAGTCGCCGACGTTGATGATCACCTCGTACACGTTCTCCGACTCGACGGGGATGAAGCTGCCCAGCTGGCGCTGATCCTCGACCTGCAACCCGCCCACCGAGTCCTGCAGGAGCAGGGTCAACGTCCCGAAGTCGGAGTGCTCGCCGATGCGCTTGCCGGACCCCATCGACCGCGCCGGAATAGCCGGGTAGTGCAGCAGGCGCAGCTCGCTAGTGTTGCTCTGGTGTTTGGCGATGAGATGGTCGGCGGGCAGCCGGAGGCCGGCGGTGATGGCGCGCACGAGGTGGCCGTGCAGCTCGTGGAAGTCGTCGTAGATCCCCTCCATAAAGGGGCGGAAGCCGGGGAGGTCGGTCTCGTCGACCCAACGGTTGGGGAAGAGCTCGTCGGTGGCAGCGCCTTGGTCGAAGGATTCCTGGAATAGCGGGCTGTTAGCGATGTGCCTTGACCTCGGGGGTGGACCTTGCAGTGGCTGGCTAATAACTCTTACACACCCGATATTCCTGGTAACTGTCCGTCTGCTGCTCGCCTTGCTCGAACTTGGAGATCTGCCACACGCTCTCTTGGCCAATGGCACTCCAGCCTCGATGGGGGTTCGGCGCGGCCGGGTGCGCTGCCTTCACTTTGATGTCATCTGGGAGATCAAAGAATCGCTTGTTCTGTGCGTCGTCATTGCAGTTAGCCCGCACATCTCGCACAGGCTAGCTTCGACGCCATATCGGATGACTCACGAATTCGAACAGTTGGTCAATCTTCTCTTTTGGAAGTGACGAGTGGCGAATCTTAGCAAATCCATAGACACAGAGCGTTTCACAGAGTTCATCGCAGAATTGTTGTCGCTCTTGCGCATCGTCGCTGCGATAGCGGCGGAAGTCTAATGATTTGATGGCCATGGCTGGTGTACGGCGATTTGATGGGACCGAGCTTAGGGTCTTCGTCCGGATGTTTTCAAGACAAATGAGGATGAGTGCTGTATAGAGCTACGGACCCCGTAGCGGATGAGTCGCGGATCACTATATATGCTTCTGTGGGGTCCCCAGCCCTCCGTCGCCCACTGGCTTCGTCTGATGGAGGTCAGACATGATTGCTGGGCCCAGTGGGCGCATCCCGGAAGTGGCTGTACCGTAGTATCCCCAGACAGCCACGGCACGGTTCATGAAGCCGGCAAGGCTGAGGGCATGCTCTGCATCTCCCACGTTGCGCCCCCACACAGGATCCTGAAGGGATTGCACTCCGATGCCGGCGCAGCTGCCGGCGCCGTTCTCAGAATTCACAGAGCCTTAGGGATAAGTCAAGTTGCAACCAGGAGTTCTTTTCCTGTTCAGACCTGGTTACTGTGTGGAGAGACCCAGAGTGCGGCACCCAAATGTCACGTATAGACATACCGGAAAGGCGAGGTTCTTGGATCTTTCATGAAGATTTATGCAACCACGGCCGATGCTACTTCCGCAGCATACATCGTGAATATCTATGTACTCAGCGTTGTTGTAAAAAAATACCTCCTCTCGTTCTCGACGAATTGAGGTCACATTCTTTGTCCTACCCCAATATGGAATCAGACGTTCTGTCCTTTAAAATGCCAGTCCTTCACAACATCATCCGTGGAATAAAATCTGATGCGGATATTCCCTATAGGGCTATGGTCTCAATCAATAAATCTTTGAACCACGAAGAGCCGGAGTCGCTCACACAATAAGATCAATGTTGACACCGCAGTCATCTCTTGCAAAAGTCTCGAGCGCGCGCCAAGGAGAAGGTGAGTCTCCCTCAACATTCGATCCCCGTTTTACTGAGCGAACACGGATCGCGAAGAAAGGCCGTTCCCCTGATCTTGGAAGTCACTACGTATAACGGCTCCAGATCACGCGGATCTAGTGGACCTGAGCAAGGTCGATTGCCAACAAACGGCATCCCTCATTTGATCAAGATCGCGAACTCATTGTGAACGGATATCACGGATTCTCGTCATGGTCATCGAATGGAAAATGGTGAACGACAGCTGTTTTCTCCATTTCGGTGCTTGAATGTTCCATCAAACCATTCTTGATGCTCTGGATGACCGCCTTGCACCGTTCAAACTCATCCTCATCTGGAACCCAGCCTAGGGCGTCGGTCCCGATGAAATCCCTCATCTCGCCCAGCTCCTGTAGTAACTCCTGTTCCTGGCAGTGATCCTCCGCGCATTTTTGTATCTCTTCCTCTGAAAACTGAACCGGAAACTTCATCAAACCCGTCGGTGCCCCTTCATACAACGGCATCGGCCAATTCGTGAGTACCTGCATCATGGTATACTTCAACGACACCGAGTCTCCTTCCCAGGGAGCCTGTGCATGATGAAAAAGCTTCGCGCGGAGCATGAAGTTTTCAGTTCGGATGGCATCAAAATGATCCGGCAGGGATTTCATGGTCAATGCCGCATAGTAAAAGTGCACGATTCGTCTCCGCATCGTCTCCTGAACCGCCGCTTGTTCTTCATGGTTGAGTTGGTCAAAATGATCCGGCAATTTGACCTCAGGCTTGGATAATGTCTCCGACACGAGATCGCCCCAATTTTGAAAATGGTCGGGGATGCCAGCGCACAGGCAGAGGGGCAGAATGACTGCATGCTGCCAGTCGATGATTCCGACCACTTCGTTGGACGTATTCACCAGGATATTGTTAGGCGAAAAGTCCGGATGACGAACAGTCGGGCGAGCCATGCGGTGGTCGGATGGAACGTCGAGACCAGGCGCTAGCTTCAAGTAATTGGCAAGGAGATGCTGGTACGGGATGGGTGAGCGGGGTTGATACTGGTGTAGTTCTCGCAGGTATCTTTCGACGTGGAGTCGTGGTTTGCCAAACTTTTCACAAAACTCCATCTCGCGCTTAGCAGGTGCTTCAAAGCATGAGGAGAATGTAGTCCCTGACTCGGAGTCAGTGTTTTCCGAAACAAACAAAAAAAGGAATACCCAGACGGAGACTGACATGGACCGCAATCGACGTCCAGAGAAGCCCGTTCCCGATACCACCATTCATGTTGTGCGGTTGGACCAACGACAATGTCGTCCGAGACCGGGATCACGCGTTGTGAGCTTGCAAGATCACGGCGGTGGTAAAGACTTCCGCTTGCTGGGAAGCGGATGCTCATGAACTGTCTTTCCAGATCCACGATCTGTCGCATAATTTTGACACGAGTTCTGGTGTCCATGGAGTACCACTGACCGCTCAAGGGTGTTCCTTCGAATCTTTCCAAGAGAATGTACTCGGCTCCAACGGCGTTTGTCTGATCTGGGGAGTAGGCAAGGACTTTGGGAACGGGGACCCCATTAGCACGCAGATGGGCGAGTGTGGCCGCTTCACTGGCCACTGCATGATGTTTGGGAACAGTCGTCTTATACGGCAATCTTGCCAGGACTGCATATCCATCATCGAAGGTGATTTGTAAGACGCGGTTGAAGCCCCCCTCGGCGAGTTTTGTGATCGAAACCACGCCATCGAGGCAGCGGCCGACGGAATGGCAGGCAACCCTGGCAAGGGCATCCACGTCGAATCGAGCACGGCGTTCGGCGCGGCGGATCTCCTCGTTGAATCTGGCCAACCGCGAGCACGTCAGTGTATTGTAACTATTGTGACTGGGCGCGTCCAGCAGTTCACCAGCCATAGCTCGCAGAAAGCGTCCAGAAGTGTACTCAAAGATATCAGAGTCACCTCTTGAAGAAGAAGACATCCTCCTGAGTGATGCCTTGAAGCATTGATTGAAATATCTCGAAAGGTGTCGCATATTCGACCAGACGGCTGTCAGCCCAAGCTGCTCTGATTATTGATGGGCGGCATGGTACGGGACGTCTGGAGGTTGACTTGGCTATCAGGCTTCGCAGGACCAGTATGGTGAATACGAATGTGCGAGTAGGTAAGTAAGTATGTACATATGATGTTGTTTGATGATGCAGGAGGGATTCAGGAAGTGTCGGTGTATCCGAGAATACCCCGAGGGGGCGGTCTGGATGGCGGAGCCATAGGAGCGGCAGAACGTCATACGTGATCAGGGAGGCAAGCAGTCTTCCGTACGATGCAAACCAGGCAAATGCCAGGCAAATGCCAGGCAAACCCCCAGGCAGCCAGTAGTTATACCTAGCCCTAGCTAGCTAGTAGCTAGGAGATGTCCGGACCCAACAGCAGAAAGAACAGAAGTAGGAAGAATGATGTACAGCAGCACTGTACACCTTATCAGTGTTCCTACCAGCGCCGACGGTACCTTAGGCGAGGCAGTCCCTGAAAGACATGCAGACATCATCAAAATCCTCGTTGTCCATCAGGAAGACCATATCGACCTCGCTATTGCAGGTACTCAGCAAGACGTAATTCCGCCTGTGGTAAAAGCTGCGCGCATCTGTTGAAGTTCTGCGTAGAACACTACAACGTCGTCTCCCAGGAATCAGATCTATTATTGATAGTCGCCTAAAGAACCCTACACTGACTATTTTGAAAAAAAAAAAAAGAAAAAAAAAGAACCTTCAAGGAACTGGACTTCATCCCTCTTGCCAAGCGTGGGCAGTATTCAGCCGTCATGTAGTCGGAAAACAGCTACCATCTTGCTCCAAAAGCGTGACTCAAATTCCCAGCCTTGCATAGGCAATAAATAGGTATGAAACTTGGTCAACCGCCAGCAAGCCTGAAGAAGTCCATTCCTTCTTCAGATATATTCGCTCTGAACGAGCGAGACATAACAGTCTCAAGCTCCTGGGAGAGTGGTCTACCTGCGTACAAGTTGTCAAGCCGGAATAGAGTGCTCTCAATGAGAATGCCTGTAGTTTGAATAAAGCAGGCTTCGCCATAGAATGAGTAGCTACAGGGCATGAACTCTGCTCCTAGTATCTTGATAGACTGTTTTGTACACAGCCAAGAAATCGCAAGTAAATAACCTCAATTGAGTGCAGCAACGCCGCGCGAGCGGGGTGTTGCCACTGTACTTAATCTCCAAAGCTCAGGTTCATATCGAGGCATACCATTGAGCTGTTGTTCCAAATAATCAGAGAATAGATTCTATTGTCCAATAGCTGGACTGTTCAAGGGAATAGCTTATATTACCTTTATGAACACTGGATTCCTGCCACCAAGAGCCGGTGGGCCGGGCGATATAGCCTCTTAATTCTTGACGGCCATGACTCCTGGTTGACGCCTGAATTCAACAATCTTGAGAGCTAAGATAGAGGTATACATATCTGTATACCTTCCCACTCATCATATCTTTGCCAGCCTCTCGATGTCCCTTGCTTCTCGCCAATAAAACGAGCCTACGGCGGCATGGCAGAGCGGCTGATGTGCACGCACTCACTCATAAGAGGATTCATCCCCGAATTGAGATGGTCAGCAAACCAGAGTGTTGGTCACGAGAACAATCAATCACAAGACGAGTCTTTCATTGTTGCTGAATCAATTCAATTATCAATATGCTAAACAAACAATCCAACCTGGCAAGCCCAACTCCACGGCATTTCCTTCTTCCTACAACCGACTAGGGACCAGATACGGAACCCCTCTAGCCTCGTAGAGATCGCGGTGGTCGGCCTTGATGAGATCGGCGCCCTGCAAGCACATGGAGGATTAGCATTTTATTTCACCACATGGAGAGGCGTGCTCACCTTCTCGCCGATCATGTACACCGAGTTCTGAATCCGACAGTCCGGAATCACGGGGATGACGGACGCATCCGCCACGCGCAGGTTGCGGATCCCGTGGACCCGGAGTCGGGAGTCCACCACGCCCTGGTGGATGCTCTTGGACAGGCGGGCGGTGCCGCAGGGGTCTGTCTCATGAGAACTTGTTAGTGACATCATGCTCTAGCCATACACGGAAAAACTCAGGTGCACAAGCAAGAAGGTGAGGATAGCACTTACGGTATCCAGTCTGACTC